TGTATTTGGTCTTTGTATCGTCCGGGTATTGTGCCTACCTATCATACTTGCATTTGGTCTTTGTATCGGCTGTGGATCATGTCTACATATCATCCTTGCATTTGGTCTTTGTATCGGCTGTGGATCATGTCTACATATCGCCGTTGTATTAGGTCTTTGTATCGGCTATGGATCATAGATCTGCGAACAGTCCGTGTATCATGTCTGTGTACCGTTTGGTTATCAATAACGGATGATTAGTCTTTTAATAGTCGCAGAAGAAAAAAAACCGGTGTCAATCTTGTTTCATATTGTTCACATTCGTTGTTAAAATTACAATTCAGTCGATTCAGTGACGAAATCGACGAAGAGCATAAAGTCCGTAGAAGCTCAATAATTAACGGTACCTCTTGTCTCGTCAGTGCATTAAGGTGACGCGGATTAGTGTACTAAAACTTGTTCCGAAATAGCTGTTTACTTACTCTGAGTCCAACTGTATGACTTATGGTTACCGCGTGAAGTAATTAACAATAGCTTACTGTTGTCTGAATCAACATGTTGTCAGCGTGTCATGGGTATCTTGAATTAAACCATTAATATTACTCAAATGAGCTAGTAACGCATCAATCTGCAAAGACATAAGTGTCTACAACTCTCGTCACATGTATACCGTGCTGTTTCAAAGACACCTAAATATGCTAAAGTATGTCATCTAAGGGTCTGATTTTGAGTAGCATCGCACTGGAACGTCAAAATTTCCCATAACTGACAACACGTATTGGCACTCGTCCGTGTGGGTGAGTCCAGGACGAGAGACCCATAAGGCCTGTACCGCTCATCTAACTTTGTTCAGCTGAATTTGCTTTATCAGAACTTAAGGAATAGGAATTCTAAGGTGGTGATCATCTAAAGTATTTCTACAAAAGTCTCTTCACCAAAGAATGCTTCTGATTAAATTGGGACAGTATCCTGGCATTCCTACATAAGAAAAAAGATTTTACATCAGGCCCGAGACCCGTTGAACTAAATTGATTCCCCTTCACCCAAGAATGCTTCGGAGCAAATTAGGACTGCATCCTGGCATTCTACTACTGTTTGTCTGTATATCGGTCATTTATTATGTCTGTGTTTCATCAGTGTATTTTTCGTTTAATCTGTCTGTGTATCGTCCGTGAAATATGTCTATACATCGGCCGTGAAATATGTTTCTACATCGTTCGTGAAATATGTCTCTGTATCGTCCGTTTGTTATGTCTGTGTGTCGTCTGTGTATCGTCATGCTTACGTATCGTCCTTGTATTTAGTCTGTGTATCTTCCGTCCACTTTGTACATCGTAAGTGAAACATGTACGTGTATCGTTGTTGTATTTTGTAACCATTTACAAAAATTAATTTCCTTCACCGTAGGATGCTTCAGTCCAAATTGGGACAGTATCCTGGCATTCCTACGTAAGAAGAATGGTTGTATAAAATCCGTTCTATTTCCCCATTGGGCCCACTCCACAGGCCCCATATCCACCTTTTATACCAAATTGATTCCCCTTCACTCAAGGATGCCTCAGACCAAATTGGGAATGGCAATTCGGCCAGGTGAGCTAAAACGAAGGACCTTGACATAAGCAAACACAAAAATGAACAACAGCAAAACTGAAGCAATTCTCGTATCCAATAATAATCATTCGTTTCATCTCTACAGTGTTCAACGTCTTTGGAACTGTTAGTATCATATAATGACGGGAACCAGTTAAGAAACAAAGAGAGGAATAAAAAAAACGCAAAAAAGGAGCAAGACACGAAGAAAATAAACGATGCAGTTATAACAAATATGTAGCCCTAAACAACACCAACTACGACGAAACCCATAACAGGAGCATCCCCCAGCAAAAGCAACAAAGAACCAGAGATTACAATGAATCAACCGAAAGCAACAGCATCAACGAAGAAACCAGCAACAACATTAGTAACAATAACACAACCATTGACAAAGCAACGTTCCAGAAACTCTGAGCAGCACTAACAGCGAAGTATCAAAAACTCTAAGAGTGAGCAGCGAGGAACCACCTCTATTGGGTAAACACTCGCTATCTTACCAAGTCAGAATATGGAACTAATCCTGGTATATATTGACATGGAGCGTGACCTGAAGTGCGAAGGGACAATGTGAACTATAGTCGTGTTATACTGATACAAAATTTTAGCAATCGTTAATATCTATCTGCAATGTTCGGTTTAATAGCGTGACAGCGTGTAAATGACGTCATAGTGTATTCAGCGGCGCCAGTAAGAAAATGTCGCGTAAGTAATGGGTTTGACACGTGCATGTGATATTTGTCTGAGCACTTCACGCCAGCATATCCTGTCTACAAACATATTATGGTGTCATGATGTCAAATTGTTTTCGGGATTTCCAAAAAGTACATGTATCCCTTTCGCCTCCGTGATTATAGCTAAAACACATTGATTTTGTCAATTTTATTATTTTTCTTACACCTCATAACGAAATAAAATATCGCTGTCAACATAGCAAGTAGATCTTTACATTCTGTAAAAACTGTGACACCAAACACTATCACATCATCTTACTGTATAAAATTTACTGTCGTGAACAGGTAGATACACCTGTATGGTTTATATACGACTTTGCATGACATGCGCCCTTTGGATGACATTGCTGGATACAGTGGTTCAGATGCTGACTGACTTGGCCGGGCATGCTTGTGAAATTTTCTGGTTCAGACAGGCCGAACACGATGTGGTGACTGGTGTTTTGTTTACTCTACATGACTCGATTAGTGTTGATTTTACTTGAAATGACTCGATTGGCGTAGCTTATACTCGAAATGACTCGATTGGCGTAGCTTATACTCGAAATGACTCGATTGGCGTAGCTTTTGCTTAAAATGATTCGATTGGCGTAGCTTTTGCTCAAAATGACTCGATTGGCGTAGCTTATACTCGAAATGACTCGATTGGCGTAGCTTTTGCTCAAAATGACTCGATTGGCGTAGCTTTTGCTCAAAATGACTCGATTGGCGTAGCTTTTGCTCAAAATGACTCGATTGGCGTAGCTTATACTCGAAATGACTCGATTGGCGTAGCTTATACTCGAAATGACTCGATTGGCGTAGCTTTTGCTCAAAATGACTCGATTGGCGTAGCTTTTGCTCGAAATGACTCGATTGGCGTAGCTTTTGCTCGAAATGACTCGATTGATGAAGCTTTTGCTCGAAATGACTCGATTGGCGTAGCTTTTGCTCGAAATGACTCGATAGATGTAGCTTTTGCTCGAAATGACTCGATTGGCGTAGCTTGCACTCGAAATGACTCGATTGGTTATCTTGCACTCGAAATGACTCGATTGGTGTAACTTGCACTCAAAATGACTCGATTGGCGTATCTTGCACTCGAAATGACTCGATTGGTGTAACTTGCATTCGAAATGACTCAATTGTAGCTTATACTCGATTATACATGATTGGTATTTTGTTTACTCGATATAAATCGACTGGTGTTGAGTAAGCATTGTCGACTCGTTTTATAAACGGGACCACACTTCCATCGATCTAGTACGACTCTTTGTGACGCTACCCGCCTGATAACATTGATCCACGGTCTAACACTTGGATACTCTCCCCGTTGGTTCATGACCAACAATTGAGTCCATACAAGAACATTGGTCCACAATCGTCTTTCCTCACATTAAATCTGCCTTATCTGCGTCTACCCTTCATAACGATAGCACGCTGTATGACTAATAATTGCATTTCATACATTCGCTTACATCGGATTCTAAGCACTTTAATTCACTGAATTATCATAATTTGAATTTCAGTCGATATTGAACAATTTTAATGGATATTTTACTTGCAACTTCAATATGGATTTTTGGCACGGTAATGGAAGCGTTTTATACCTTCTGACCTCATATATGTCCCTGTTTTTTTCTTATTTTTCCCCAAGTAAATATAAGACACATGGCTTATCATTCTTGCTATGGCAACACGGACTACTATTGTTTGATACAGCATATACCTAGTGTTCCTCTAACGATCTTAAAATATCAAGCGCAGATGTGCGAAGTTTGGCATGAAATACATCTTCCGTTGACCACAGCTACGTGTGGTAATGGCTTTAAATTGAACAAAGCACAATAATTCAAAATTGGACTCTTACTCTCCAGAACATCATGGTATTCCAAGGTATTTAAGCATTGTAAAACGAACTTCCCGTTTCCTTACAAGTTCAAATTTTGTAAAATAATATAACAACAAAATAAATGGCTTTAAGGAAATCATTACTTGGGAACATTAATACTTACTTTGGAAAACATCACTTTTCCCACAAATTAGATATGTTGATATAAAGCAGTCTTCACTTTGGCAAACCGTGTTCTATATTTAAAGGGTCCACACTGAATACCTGTATATATATATATATATAGAAAAAACTTGATTTGACGAGATGCGAGTAAATTATAAATAAAAATGATTTTTGACAAAAGAAGAAAGACGTTACATTTTGCACTAGCGCTTTCACTGTATTAGATCTTCAGGTGCATAGTAACTGTACATAATGGTGTGGCGTCACAACATGTTATCTGTTGATGACGTCATAATATAAAGGGGGCATAGTTATATTTTTCAAACTTTACAATGCGGTTAAACATTAATATTCAAGTCTGGTTTTAAAATGTTTATAATTTCTGACTCCTTGGCTTCTCTTTGTATTCGATTGGTTTCAGATGGAAAAGTATACAGGGGGAAGATTTGGAAAAAGCCGTCGTTGCATCCTGCTATGTGTCGGCTGATTGGTAGATGTCTATATCTTTCGTGAGATATTTGTTCGCGATGTAATGTTACGCGTTTGCGGAGGTTTTCTGTTTGTCCTATATGTATATATATATATATTTTTTTTGTTTAATTTTTAAAATTTTTTGAAGATTAAAATATCTGATATGTCATATTGCAATACTGGTGTGGTTAAACACTAAATCAACGACACTGTTTACAAAGAACAAAACATTTTTGTCATTGCAGCATTATTTACTGTACATAACACATATATTGTACAACATAACAGTCACTGTTTCACCAAGATAAATAAACTTTATATAAATTCCCTCAATAATTGGCAACAACTAGTTACTGTTGATTGCACCTTGTCCTCTTTAAAGGTAGATAACACAGTCATAACTACACGTGATTCATAACAAATTGATTATAAACAGTATAATATAGGATTTTCAAGAGTTCTAACAGCGTTAAAAAGGAGATCCTGTAAGATCAATGGGTCAGGATTAACCATTCACTGTTGTAGATATTGCTCACCTGATAATTGAAATTTTGTTGGGAATTTTCAATCCACAATTTTTAGACAGGAAATTCTCATTATTACAGTCGGTAAGAAAAGTACCACTAAAGATCATCAAAACACAGGGAAAATAGTTCCTATCCTTTTATTTAAACCAAGTATTGAAAACTTGGTCAGTTCCTTACCATCTCATACATTATGTATGTCACACTGGTCAATTGTCTGATGAAGGTGTCTGTGTAGTCATCAACATGTCACACTTATCTTCTGGTAGTGTTACAAAAACTTATTCCATTTCCTATCTGTAATTATTTCAACCAAATATTTAGGTTTTCTCAACTTTGACTGTAACATTAAAGTATCAAAGACCCTGGCAAGGCTTTAGGACAATCAAGGAGACTTAATCATCACAAATCAAAAAGTTTTCTATCTAGAAATCAACATTAATTTCAATTTTTTCCACGACTATACACAAACTTGTAGATCTTGTAAATACTACATCTTGTCTACAATCAACAACAGGATGTGTTACATTGTAGTAAATCACCAATGGAACTAATTTTTCAAGGATTTCGTAAAAGAAACATAAATAAAGGATATTGTCTCTGATATTAAACAAGATGAAATGAATCACAAACATATATCTCTGATACAACATAGAGCTTTCAAACTCTCAACAAATGAGTAGTAAAAATGTAAAGAATTAAAAAAAGTTAAAACTCAAAACTCACAAAGAATTTGTTTGAAAAATTAAGAAAACAGAACAGACAAAAATGAGATAAATACTCCAGATACACAACACTGAGATAACTATAAATATATTATGTCAAAATCAGATGCCCACACACCTGGGCCAGTGAATCACACTTCTCATGACTTCTTTATCCAAGAAAGTGATAGGAATGGAATGTAAATATGGAACATGATACATGATCAGCTAATCGTCTGGAAAGGAAGTGACAAGCCTGAAGATGCATGAAGACTTCTATTGTTTTTAAAATGTCCTTTCTTTGTACCTATTTTTTTTCAGGACATGTCACACATACACCTGTGAGATAATTCCAATTCCTTTGGCAGAATGACCTAACACAATAGAGAAGATGTATTATACAGTGGTGTGTCTGAACTGTTCGACTTTGTGAGGAAGATAGACTAAGAAAATAAGGTACCATAGATACAATGTCTGCTAAAGAATGGTCAAAATTTTACTTCAACCACCAGCTTTTGCCACATGTTCTCCTGACTGTGACAAATACTACCTGCAAGCCATTTGCTGTCTCGGCATCTTAACAAACTGCGGACATAAATTTCAAAGCACTCTTTTCAAAAAACTACAAAAAAACATACATACAATCAATCTATAAATAGATTTCATGCATTTTACAGAAATCAGATTCACTGTCAATCATTAATCATTTTTGCGTTACAGAATCAATACGTACCAGTGTTGATGAGTTGGCAGATTGTAGGATTTTCCCAACACACACTGCTGAGACCACAGAAAAGTGTTTGTGTTTTTCATACCATTTGGCCAACTAAGTTCTGGTGAAAGACAAAATTACTTGCTTGCCTCTCATAACTCAATAAGTGGAATTTTTCATGTACTTATTAATCCTGATAAATGCAGATTAAATTATAAACTTCACACTTTTGAAAATAAGTGAGATTTGTGTTATTATATGTTAATGAGACTATTTACAATTAGAATCTAATACACTATATGACTTTACCATCTTTTGAGTTAAAATGAGAAACACAAAGTTAATGCCTAATACATTCTAGAAACAGGATCAGGTTAAAAACCAGTAGACAAGACAGTACAGAACAACAGTAAAACCTATTAAAACTAACAGTCGAAAGTCTACAAAGTGAGATAATTTCTGATATACCACAACCCTACCTTGGTCTAATGCTACGGATATTTTCTAAGTGAGCCATAGGTTCACTCGGTGAACTCATTAACCATTTGTGAAAAATGCTCTTTTGATGTGTTTTCATCTGAGTAATGTTTAACTCAGCAACCAAATTCAAACACAATAAAATCAAGATGAACCACAAATTAAGAAGTTGTGAAAAACTTTTTTTACCAGGAATCGGTGCAATATTAGGCTGACCTTCACAAAGACAACAGTCTGTATTTATGACCACTGGTTAACGCACTGGGGAGAAGCTAGTCTGAAGGTACGTTGATACATACTGTATCTGTAGATCAGAAGAAAGACAACTCTTTTATAAAAGAAACCCCATTTTAACTCTTGATTATTTTGATTCTGATGGGTGTCAACTTGGGGGTTAAATGAATCAATACATCAAACATCATAAAGGTACTGTGTGTGATTGATATTGTTCCTTGTAAGACCAGGAAGCCTTAGATTCAGCTCCACAGCAACACTTTGGCATACAGACACAACAGTTAAAACAAAACAGTTGCCCTAAACACATATCATGATCAAAGGTCCACATCTACAAGTGGTTCACATCAAAATAACAATTTTCTAGTATAAATATACAGCTACCAGTACGATCGGAGTCAATCTGTCTGGGCATCCAATCACAAAAATTTCAATATGTCTTCATCTTCAGAATATTTTAGTTTGTGTAAAATATGTATGCGTAGAGTTTTCTGTGCCTAAACTATGCTTGTATCAAGAGTGACAACAAAAAAACCTATTCTTCTCACACCTATCTTAACATCGCCAGAGACAATCTGTTCACACCTATCTTAACATCGCTAGAGACAATCTGTTCACACCTATCTTAACATCGCTAGAGACAATCTGTTCACACCTATCTTAACATCGCTAGAGACAATCTGTTCACACCTATCTTAACATCGCCAGAGACAATCTGTTCACACCTATCTTAACATCGCCAGAGACAATCTGTTCACACCTATCTTAACATCGCTAGAGACAATCTGTTCACACCTATCTTAACATCGCTAGAGACAATCTGTTCACACCTATCTTAACATCGCCAGAGACAATCTGTTCACACCTATCTTAACATCGCCAGAGACAATCTGTTCACACCTATCTTAACATCGCTAGAGACAATCTGTTCACTCTGACTCATCTCAAATAAATAATCATTTAAGAAATATTGAAACTGTACCAATCAGTCGTATAACATGGTGCAATTAAAAATTACTTCATCCCTCTTTTGCCTTCTTGTTATCATATAATTCTACATAATAAAATGTCTTTACAATTACTTAATAACCATTAGACTATACACTGGATTAAAAAAGACAATGTCCATGATATCAAGACATTCCACAAATGGCACATCTAAGCATCTCACTGGTTTCTATTTGTATATATAATCCATAACATTGTACATGTACTTGTATTCATTTAGGTGTTTTGCTCCGAGTTGACATTGAAATAGACTATATAAACAAAACGAAAACAGTTGAAAGCTTTAAAAAGCCAAGTGACAATAGAAGAGTAAAGAAACTATCACTTCTACAGTGGATAATTTCACAAAATATTTCAATACTCTGCACAGGAAGATGGATATTGTGTATACAGTAAGTCTCCTGGGTGTACTACTGTTTTGTTCTGTGTGAAGTCTCACACTCTCTGGATTTCGAACAACTTCACATTGGTGTCATACCATACTGGTGGGTCCACATTCCTGGAAAGAGAGAAGTTCAATGTCAAAAACCACGGTAACCTCATTTTAATAGAAACAGCAAAAGTTTACAATTAGCAAACCAACAAAATGACCCTGCAAAGTTTCGTCATTGCTCAGTCGGAGCTTTGGCTGACGTAACCTCATGTGAAGATCTGAGGTATGTGGTGCGATGCTCTCTTTGCCTGGCAATGTGTGGCTCTCAGAAAGCTGAGAAACAGACTGGTCAGTGATGATGTGGTTATGTTGTGTTAGGTGAAGTCAACTAAAACAATATATATAACACCCCAGAGTTAGGTGTAAAACTTTACTTACCGAAGATATGTATTGCTCCACAGGTAAGTATATAACTTTACTTACCAAAGGTATGTATTGCTTCACAGGTAAGCATATAACTTTACTTACCAAAGGCATGTATTGCCCAATTGGTAGGTATAAAATATTACTTACAGAAGATATATAATGCAAAAGAGGTAGGTGAAGAACTTTACTATCCAAAGGTATATAACTCTCCAGGGGTAGGCAAAGAATTTTACTTACCTAAGGTATATATAATGCCCCAGAGGTAGGTGTGAAGCTTTACATACCTAAGATATATATAATGCCCAGAGGTAGGTGTGAAGCTTTACATACCTAAGATATATATAATGCCCCAGAGGTAGGTGTAAAGCTTAACATACCTAAGATATATATAAGCCCCAGAGGTAGGTGTAAAGCTTTACATACCTAAGGAATATAACACCCCAGAGGTAGGTGAAGAACTTTACTATCCAAAGGTATATAACTCTCCAGGGGTAGGCAAAGAATTTTACTTACCTAAGGTATATAATGCCCCAGATTTAGGTGTAATACTTTACTTACCTAAGGAATATAACATCCGAGAGGTAGGTGTAAAACTTTACATGTCGAAGGAATATAACACCCCAGAAGTAGGTGTAAAACTTTACATACAAAAGGTATATAATGCCCCAGAGGTAGGTGTAAAACTTTACATACAAAAGGTATATAATGCCCCAGAGGTAGATAAAGAACTTTATTTACCAAAGGTATACCTACCAAGAGGTAGGTGAGAGCTTTACTTACATAAAGTATATAACATCCCAGAGATAGGCATAGAAATTTACATACCTAAGATATATAACGCCCCACAGGTAGGTACGGAACCACATGGTGGTACCACTGTTAGCCTGGTACTTCCGTATCAGGATGGGATGAGGTACAGGCAGCAGGCCTACCAATGTACCATGCTGAAGGAACTTCAGGATCTCACTCTCATCTGTCAGACCTCTGTAATTATCAAAAACAGCAAGGTTTGTCTATAAATGTTCTGAATTTTGTGCATTTATTTATCAGTCAGACCTCTGTAATTATCAAAAACAGCAAGGTTTGTCTATTTATCAGTCAGACCTCTGTAATTATCAAAAACAGCAAAGTTTGTCTATAAATGTTCTGAATTCTGTGCATTTATTTTTACTTTTTTCTCCAATGAATTTTAGAAATGTGCCTTATTTATATATGAATATTTATTTTCTAATATTTCAATTTATTGTTTGCATATATATCAATACGTATCAAAATTTTGGGATCCTTTTTTTTAAAAATAAAACTATTTTGATTTTAAACTATTCCAATTTACAGTTTGCTGTCTAAAAAAGAATGAGGTTCTACACAAACACATGTGCTATTGCAGTACACTAATACAATTGTCAATAACTTTGTTCACGGACAGATCAACATCATTCTACAGTTGTTCTAAATTCCACAGAACACTACCTAACAATCTATTATTAACAAAATATATACTAATATGTATATAAAACAAAACAGGTTAGTTTTCATAACATTGTGGCAGTTTTGTTGAACACCACAGTTAATTAATATCAAACCTTTCATAAAAACATAACCTTAAGATTCATATCTAAAGTATGTTGGTTAACACAGGTAAGTATTTACACTCACTTGTCTATACAAATCTTCTCCACCTGTGGCACCAACACCTGTAACATCCTCATTATTGTCTGTAGAGGTAACTTCTGTTTCCATGACATCACCTACACATACCATCAATTCTTCAATACAGTCAATATCAACAACAATCCATTGTAACAAAACAAGAACAACATTCAACTCTATAGTTATAACTTAAAACTAATCTTAACATTTACCTTGACAGGTCACATAAATATTCAAGTATACGAGGAAACAGTGTGATATTTTCATAAAGCAATTTTTACTGTGTAACATGTTGTAATGTAACATACTGTAATGTAATGTAAAATGTTGTAATGTAATGTAATATGTTGTAATGTAATGCAAAAATTATGTTATGTAATGTAATATGTTGTAATGTAATGTAATGTGTTGTAATGTAATGTAATATGCTGTAATGTAATGTAATATGTTGTAATGTAATGTCATATGTTGTAATGTACCGCAAAAATTATGTTATGTAATGTAATATATTGTAATGTAATGTAATATGTTGTAATGTAACGCAAAAATTATGTTATGTAATGTAATATGTTGTTATGTAATGTAATATGTTGTAATGTAATGTAATATGCTGTAATGTAATGTAATATGTTGTAATGTAATGTCATATGTTGTAATGTAACGCAAAAATTATGTTATGTAATGTAATATATTGTAATGTAATGTAATATGTTGTAATGTAATGCAAAAATTATGTTATGTAATGTAATATGTTGTAATGTAATGTAATATGTTGTAATGTAATGTAATATGCTGTAATGTAATGTAATATGTTGTAATGTAAAATGTTGTTTCGGCTGCTCATCATTACTTACCCAGTCCGGTGTTGCTACCCAGGCCCCTGGGCTGGACGTGGAGGCTGTCCTTACCATAGGGGCTCGACCCCCTGCATCTGACCCTGTCATGGAGTGGGTGGGACTGGCTTGGGTGCTGGGCTGTAAATACAATTGAACTGTTACATTCCTGAAAAGTTACCCATCTCCATGGAATCATTTAAAACTGTTGATGTAGCCTATTTTTGTGTTATGGTTGCATTTGGATGGCAAAAATCTGTACAGTAAATGTGTGATATTGTAACATAAAATAATTTTGTTGAACAGTTAACATAAATTCCAATACAATAAACTGACCCAGGATAGTAAATAAATTTTCTCAATAACTAGACTCTCAAATGTATGAATAATGGAAAACTTACCAAGCTTTTGGTCCTTGTCATCTTTGGTTTCTCTGTGCCTTCAGCTCCTTCCTCAGTCTCTCCGTCAGTGGGGTCCTGGATCTCATTAGGGGGCTGGACATTGTGTGTTCCGCTGGACGTGGCCAGTTCCTTTAAGGTGGGGTCAGCATTACATTCATCTGGGGCTGCCCTTTCTGTCATCTTGTCTATACCTGTGAGATACCGATTACCAGTAGTAAATACAAACTAAAATACAGTAATTTTATATTTCAAGATTAAAATAGAGTGTTAAAGTACAACTAAATTTCCATATGGTCCCTAGGCATCTTTATCTCAGGACCAGGAATATTTGTGCACACTGACTGAGCTTTACAATATCAACATCTAAACAGAGACATCCTTGCTCACTTTTTTACCCTAGTTGTGTGAAAACTAAAACTTTGTATGTGTCCATAGTTATAGAACGTTACTTCTATCTTTACCTTGGTTAAAGGATCTAATTAGAGATTTATTTGATTAAACTCACTTAATATCAGTGGAATATTATCCAAAAAATGACATAGGTAATATCAAAATATATTGAGACTGTGAATAGTTCAATTTCAGTGACAAGAGAGAGTGTAAATAGAGACAATTTAGGCTGAAATTGACAAACGATATCTTAACCTATCATAGTGGCAAGGACCATACACATGTTTCTGATATGAATGTTTGATAAGCTGAATTAGCTATACATACGGGGTGTAGCAGCGAGGGAGGTCTTGAGAGTGCCCGGCTCAGCTTCTGTAGCAGGTATAGAGCCCTCCATTAGTGGCAGCTCTTCCTTTGTGTCAGGGGTCAGTTGGGTGAATTTCTTTCCCCTTTTAGTGAGAGCCTTAGCTATGGCCGAGTGTTCTGTGGGCAGGTTGGCAAGCTGATGGAACACATTCCTCTTACGGATAATTGTGTAGACCAAATTACTGTTGCCTGATATGACAAAAACAAAGAGAATCAATTTATTCATGAAAGGAACTGTAAAACAAATTGAGACCAGTTAGATGTTGATGTTTTTCTAATCATTGTATTTAACATCTTAAAGAAGAGTGGCTATTTCTTTCTTGAAGTACCCATTTTGTTGAAGTTCTTGTTTGAAAAGCTGATCCTATTCACAAGAAGACTTACCATCAAACTGGTACTGAATGATGTTATTGAAGACTTCCAGCAGGAAGAAAACAAGATGGTGGTTTGTGGGACTAGCATACAGGAACCAGGGGGTACTGAAGGCCTGGGAAAACAAAAATCAAATTATCTTTCACTAACCAAATTTTGCAGAAATTTAGATCCTACCACTTTTAAATGCAGAACTTTAGTAAAATGTTCCCAAAACAAGGGTACATTTTCAGGTTCTTTCAAACTCTTTTAAGAGGGTACATCTTACGGTTCTCTCAAACGCTTTTAAGAGGGTACATCTTACGGTTCTCTCAAACGCTTTTAAGAGGGTACATCTTATACATCTTACGGTTCTCTCAAACTCTTTTAAGAGGGTACATCTTACGGTTCTCTCAAACTCTTTTAAGAGGGTACATCTTACGGTTCTCTCAAACTCTTTTAAGAGGGTACATCTTACGGTTCTCTCAAACTCTTTTAAGAGGGTTCATTTTCAGGTTCTTTCAAACTCTTTGAAAAGGGTACATTTTACGGTTCTTATGAACCCTTTGAAGCATGTTTACAGTGTTTTTTCAGATAATTATGTGAGCATTTTCCAAGACTGTCATAAATCTTAGCTCTTTCCACAGTAAAGAGAAACTATACCACCACATTCCACTTTAGAAGTTTAAGTGTACAAGTAACAATCTTTAAAGTAAGTGCAGGAAAAATACTTTTGATCTGATTGAACAAGACTTACAAGTCAACAACCTATATCCCATGATTAAACTTGATGAAATAAAGTCAATCACAAAGTTTCTTAACAGTCTTTCAAAAACCTTTTCTATACCTGGGTATACCTGGGTAATTCTGGACATAATGTATATATAAGACTGAGTAACACAAACTGGAGGAGAATCTTACAGGGGCGGCATAAAAGTTTGGCACTGGAATCTAGGGAGAATCAAATGTTTGGGCAAGGACAGTATGATTATTTTTTGGAAAGGGACAAACTCACAAAAAAAAACTTTAAAATTTTAAACCTTACCTCCAGTAAGTGCAGAAGCTTTGTGCTGGCTACCATTGATAAAGTTTTCAGATATGGTGATACTGAAATGGAAAATCTTCTCATAAACAACAAGTAGCAATAATTTGTTTCAAGCTAAGAAATAAAACATATTTTGTAATAAATTTTTGATCTGACAATATTCTTAAAACATTAAGTAATCAAAGATCAAATGGCTCATATAAACACAAGAACTTTATAAAACAATGATGTTATCAGGCCGAAGTAGAAGGCAAAGAGAAAGGAAGTCTAACACTTAATGAATCAAGAATAAAATGAGCGCTTGTTTCAGCCTCCGAAACTTCAAGTTTATCATCAGAACCATCAACCATGCAAGTTTAGCTTTTGTAATTACTGTACTTCAAAATTAATTCTAACTGTTTTTCTTAACCATGGAAAAACTTTGAGTCTAAATTTGGTCAATCAAGCATAAAATATAGGTCAGATCTAGTCTGTGGAATTTAAGTCTGTGTTAGATAAAATCATCAGAGTCATTGAACTTGAAGGGTTGATTGATTTTATTAATAAAACTTAAAGTTACTTCTATAATGTCCATACTATTCTTAACAATACTAGACCTGGGGCCATATCATAAGGTTAAAAAAACACACAAATCAACAGCACTTTTCAATACCAACACAAAGTAGACAAACTACAGCCAAGTGAATTAAACTGTGTCATACAGCTGTTTTGTCCATCCAGGGCTGGTAAGTGAGGCTAGGGAAGCAACGAAATATCCTAAACAAGGTGTTTAATAGGGATCAACATACCATTTACAATGATAGTAAGTAGACAATCAAAAAGAGGCTGCAACCTTTGGTGGCCAGTAGTGATGATTTTGTGAAAAACCTGAAATACAAAGACAACAGCTTTTATTCTGAAGTTACTTCACCATACAGTGATGCTCTAGTGACAGAGCTATGCTACCCTCTGTAGATATGATGTTTTCTTTATACAATGGCTGTACTGTTTTATGGTTGATATATTTGTGCATGAACAGTGCTACATTTATCACATAGCTGATGTTTTTAGGAAGGACCTGTGGTTCCTTCTGTAGGTGTGATGTTTTCTATATAATCTGTTATATAGCTCATGATTTTGAGTGAGCAATCACACATTCTGTGTGACATAATATAAATCAAATGTCATAAAATTTGACGTGCGAACCTAACATTGATCTTTTAATAATATCAGTATATAATCTAGATAAAATGGTAAGGCCCACATCAAATCCTTTTCTCATTAATACCTGATAATGATACCTGTATCTACAGCTGTTACACATGCCATAGGGGCAAGTCATGTTTAAGTACACTGTGACATAAACTACACAAGATTACCAACTACTTAATACAGAGAAAATATATTGTTGCATGGTATCTCCATATTGATGTTTTTCCTGTTTGTTTTAAAAAAAAAAACATATACAGCTTCAGATGAGAGTAACCATAACATATGAATTGACAAATTCTACTGTCTCCTATGTACAAAGTAACTTTGAAGGAATTTTGTTTCAATTCTATGAAATAAAAGACAATGCTGAAAAATATTATAATAATTATTGTTGGATCATCAGGATATTAAATTCATCTGACTGAGATTAGATTTGTATTAAGGAAACACACATAGACAATATGTATGGTGTTTATACTTACTATGATGAGGAAGTCAGCATGAGTTCCTGTAAACACTGGGATGTCCATGGGCACTCGTACAGTGTAAGGCTTGTTCAGTCGTACTCCAAAGTTCCTCTCTCCACTCAACAGCAGTAGGATGAATACACCAATATGCATCAATCCAACACGAGCTGTCATTCAAAAAGAAATAGATTCCTATTTCAGGGATGACTTTTGAGTTATATATACTCTTAGGATTTGGGCTACATGTTCCTGTTTTTCTTACTGGTCAGCAGGTAATTCACATTGTAATGGTCAGTAGGTAATTCACCTTGTACTGGTCAGTAGGTAAACCACCTTGTACTGGTCAGCAGGTAATTCACCTTGTACTGGTCTGTAGGTAATTCACCTTGTACTGGTCAGTAGGTAATTCAGGTAATTCACCTTGTACTGGTCAGTAGGTAAACCACCTTGTACTGGTCTGTAGGTAATTCACCTTGTACTGGTCAGTAGGTAATTCACCTTGTACTGGTCAGTAGGTAAACCACCTTGTACTGGTCAGTAGGTAATTCACCTTGTACTGGTCAGTAGGTAAACCACCTTGTACTGGTCAGCAGGTAATTCACCTTGTACTGGTCTGTAGGTAATTCACCTTGTACTGGTCAGTAGGTAAACCACCTTGTACTGGTCTGTAGGTAATTCACCTTGTACTGGTCAGTAGGTAAACCACCTTGTACTGGTCAGCAGGTAATTCACCTTGTACTGGTCAGTAGGTAATTCACCTTGTACTGGTCAGTAGGTAAACCACCTTGTACTGGTCAGTAGGTAATTCACCTTGTACTGGTCAGTAGGTAATTCACCTTGTACTGGTCAGTAGGTAATTCACCTTGTAATGGTCAGTAGGTAATTCACCTTGTACTGGTCAGTAGGTAAATCACCTTGTACTGGTCAGTAGGTAAATCACCTTGTACTGGTCAGTAGGTAAATCACCTTGTACTGGTCAGCAGGTAATTCACCTTGTACTGGTCAGTAGGTAAACTACCTTGTACTGGTCAGTAGGTAATTCACCTTGTAATGGTCAGCAGGTAATTCACCTTGTACTGGTCAGTAGGTAATTCACCTTGTACTGGTCAGTAGGTAATTCACCTTGTACTGGTCAGTAGGTAATTCACCTTGTACTGGTCAGTAGGTAATTCACCTTGTACTGGTCAGTAGGTAAACTACCTTGTACTGGTCAGCAGGTAATTCACCTTGTAATGGTCAGCAGGTAATTCACCTTGTACTGGTCAGTAGGTAATTCACCTTGTACTGGTTAGTAGGTAATTCACCTTGTAATGGTCAGCAGGTAATTCACCTTGTACTGGTCAGTAGGTAATTCACCTTGTAATGGTCAGCAGGTAATTCACCTTGTACTGGTCAGTAGGTAATTCACCTTGTACTGGTCAGCAGGTAAATCACCTTGTACTGGTTAGTAGGTAAATCATCTTGTAATGGTCAGTAGGTAATTCACCTTGTACTGGTCAGTAGGTAAATCACCTTGTACTGGTCAGTAGGTAAACCACCTTGTACTGGTCAGTAGGTAAATCACCTTGTAATGGTCAGTAGGTAATTCACCTTGTACTGGTCAGCAGGTAATTCATCTTGTAAATGTCAGAGCTGATTGTCACTTATAAACATAACAAAAAATATACCTGGTATGAGAAAAAATTTCAAGGCAATATGTAATGATTTTATTTCTCCCAAAATCTAAACTTTGAAGTAATTCTATCTTTCCACACATGCCATTATCTAAGTGAATGAAGACTTTTTACCTGTACATATTAACCAACAGTATCTTTGTTTGATACAGATTTTTACCTGTACATATTAACCAACAGTATATTTGTTTGATATAGACATTTACCTGTACATGTTAACCAACAGTATATTTGTTTGATATAGACATTTACCTGTACATATTAACCAACAGTATATTTGTTTGATAAAATTTTTTACATGAACATATTTACTAACAGTATATGTTTGATACAGATTTTTACCTGTACATGTTAACTAACAGTATATTTGTTTGATATAGACTTTTACCTGTACACATTCACTAACAGTATATTTGTTTGATATAGACTTTTACCTGTACATATTCACTAACAGTATATTTGTTTGATATAGACTTTTACCTGTACATATTAACCAACAGTATATTTGTTTGATAAATTTTTTTTACAAGAACATATTTACTAACAGTATATGTTTGATAAAGGTTTTTACCTGTACATGTTAACCAACAGTATATTTGTTTGATAAAGATTTGTAACTGTACATGTTAACCAACAAGTATATTTGTTTGATATAGACATTTACCTGTACATGTTAACTAACAGTATATTTGTTTGATATAGACATTTACCTGTATATGTTAACCAACAAGTATATATGTTTGATAAAATTTTTACCTGTACATGTTAACCAACAGTATATTTGTTTGATAAAGATTTGTACCTGTACATATTCACTAACAGTATCTTTGTTTGATACAGATTTTTACCTGTACATATTCACTAACAGTATATTTGTTTGATATAGACATTTACCTGTACATGTTAACCAACAAGTATATTTGTTTGATACAGATTTTTACCTGTACATATTCACTAACAGTATATTTGTTTGATATAGACTTTTACCAGTACATATTCACTAACAGTATATTTGTTTGATACAGACTTTTACCTGTACATATTCACTAACAGTATATTTGTTTGATATAGACTTTTACCTGTACAAGTATATTTGTTTGATACAGACTTTTACCAGTACATATTCACTAACAGTATATTTGTTTGATATAGACTTTTACCTGTACAAGTATATTTGTTTGATACAGACTTTTACCTGTACATATTCACTAACAGTATCTTTGTTTGATACAGATTTTTACCTGTACATATTCACTAACAGTATCTTTGTTTGATACAGATTTGTACCTGTACATATTCACTAACAGTATCTTTGTTTGATACAGATTTTTACCTGTACATATTAACTAACAGTATATTTGTTTGATATAGACTTTTACCAGTACATATTCACTAACAGTATATTTGTTTGATATAGACTTTTACCTGTACAAGTATATTTGTTTGATACAGACTTTTACCTGTACATATTCACTAACATTATATTTGTTTGATATAGACTTTTACCTGTACATATTCACTAACAGTATATTTGTTTGATATAGACTTTTACCTGTACATATTAACTAACAGTATATTTGTTTGATATAGACATTTACCTGTACATATTCACTAACAGTATATTTGTTTGATATAGACATTTACCTGTACATATTCACTAACAGTATATTTGTTTGATATAGACATTTACCAGTACATATTCACTAACAGTATATTTGTTTGATATAGACTTTTACCTGTACAAGTATATTTGTTTGATACAGACTTTTACCAGTACATATTCACTAACATTATATTTGTTTGATATAGACTTTTACCTGTACATATTCACTAACAGTATATTTGTTTGATATAGACTTTTACCTGTACATATTAACTAACAGTATATTTGCTTGATACAGACTTTTACCTGTACAAGTATATTTGTTTGATACAGACTTTTACCAGTACATATTAACTAACAGTATATTTGCTTGATATAGACTTTTACCTGTACAAGTATATTTGTTTGATATAGACTTTTACCTGTACATATTCACTAACAGTATATTTGTTTGATATAGACTTTTACCTGTACATATCAACCAACAGTATATTTGTTTGATATAGACTTTTACCTGTACATATTCACTAACAGTATATTTGTTTGATATAGACTTTTACCTGTATATATTAACCAACAGTATATTTGTTTGATATAGACTTTTACCTGTACATATCAACCAACATGATATTTGTTTGATATAGACTTTTACCTGTACATATTAACTAACAGTATATTTGTTTGATATAGACTTTTACCTGTACATATCAACCAACATATATTTGTTTGATATAGACTTTTACCTGTACATATTAACTAACAGTATATTTGTTTGATATAGACTTTTACCTGTACATGTTAACTAACAGTATATTTGTTTGATATAGATTTTTACCAGTACATATTCACTAACAGTATATTTGTTTGATATAGACTTTTACCTGTACATATTCACTAACAGTATATTTGTTTGATATAGACTTTTACCTGTACATATTCACTAACAGTATATTTGTTTGTATAGACTTTTACCTGTACATATTAACCAACAGTATATTTGTTTGATATGGATACATCTCAGTCTCACTGACATTCTGTAATTTAATCCCAATATTATCTTAATTGAGATTTTTGATCTTATGTTCTTATTTTGACCTCAAATGAATTTTTCTCAGGGAAAACTCACCTTAATCAAAATTTTTCCATAGAATGTTTTAGATTTCTACAAAAATGATATTTTTACTCAGAATATTCTGGATTTCACCTATAATACCATTTTTAAACGTAAGATTCTGGACTTCACCTTAAATAAAATTTCTAAACTGAATGTTTTGGATTTCACAACTCCAACTTTATACAAAATATTCTAGTTTACTTCATATGAAATTTTTACATGGAATATTCAGGATTTCACCTTATTCAGATTCTGATTACCGGTAAGTATTCTGGATGTCACCACAACAGAGATTTTTATGCAGATTATTCTTGATTTCATCATGGCCCAGATTTTCACATAGAATATTCTGAACATCACCTCAACTGACATGTATTTGACAGGATATTCTGGATTTCACCTGGATTGGGATTTTAGTACAGAACATTCTGAATTTCACTTTAATTGACATTTTTTATCAAGAACATTTCTGATTTCACCTTTACTGACATTTTTACACTGAATATTCTGGATTTCACCTAATAGAGATTGCTATAAAGAATATCAGTAATTTCACCTCAATTGAGGTTTTTATACAGAATATCTTTTATTTCACTCCAATTTAGATTTAGATTTTTATACAGAACATCAGCCAGTGACAGAGGCAAACTGATCTCGACCACACACTTGTTCTGTTAGTCTAGTAAACAATGCAATCACAATACCATAATAGATGGTCCCAAGAAATCTGTAACACATCTAGTGCAACTCTCAAAGAGGGCAAAAGGATCGATGTGTGACCTACAAGCTTGTGTATAAATTTAACCAATAAGGGGTGGGATTACCTGGCATTGCTTAGGGTTTGATTTTAAAAAAAAATTCCAGCCACAAAGATGACCCAACAGAACACTGCTAAAGAATCAGGATTGTTGTACAATTACCAAAGTGATGTACAAGTATCTTCAATAACAACCCTTATCACCACGGGAAAAAAGTTACAATTACCAGCACTTGTCATACTGGAGAGCAATCTTGTATCACATTTTCCTAAAATATTTTACTAAAATTTGTCATACTGGAATCATATATATCTGTTACAAGATTCAAGAATATTTCGTATGAATTTTTCACACTGTATGTCGTGTTTCAAAAACATTTCATTAAATTTTGTTAAATCAGAGATGAACCTTATACTGCATTTCTTGGATCAATCTAGTTAAGCTGTCTCTATGTAATGTTTCGTATCAAAGCAGTGTGGCATCATTTCTAATTTTTACTATCAATTTGATACTGGATATTAATAAAAAAAACCCTGACAAATCTACCAAAATTTCACACACTTCTAATTAGTACACAACACTGCACTCATTCAATATGTTGTAAACTGGTAACTGTGATCACAAGATGTCCTCTTACCAGACAATGCTGAAAACAGTTCATACAAGAAACAATGACTGACAAATCACTACATCGTATTTTCATCTTCTAGTACTTATTTACATTGTTTTAATCAGTGTGAATGTTTTTTGCAAAATATTTAAAAGTTGGTAACATGAAAGTCTTTGACTTATTTTATACCTGTTATGTAATTCATGTAAGATGCTACATCAAACACATTCTCCATATATAACTTTTATTAGTGAGCTAGTGTAGGTGTCCTTATCCCATAAAAAATACATCTATATATACTGCTTTTTGTTGGTGTTCTTTTCTCATAAATACAATTGTTTTTATTGTCTAATGTTGGTGTTCTTACATCATAAATACATTTATTTTTATTGACTAGCATAGGTGTTCTTACCCTATAATACATTTATTTTTATTGTCTAGTGTAGAGGTCCTTACCCTATAATAAATTTGTTTTTATTGTCTAGTGTTGGTGTTCTTACCCTATAATAAATTTGTTTTTATTGTCTAGTGTTGGTGTTCTCACCCTATAATAAATTTGTTTTTATTGTCTAGTGTTGGTGTTCTTACCCTATAATAAATTTGTTTTTATTGTCTAGTGTTGGTGTTCTTACCCTATAATAAATTTGTTTTTATTGTCTAGTGTTGGTGTTCTTACCCTATAATAAATTTGTTTTTATTGACTAGCATAGGTGTTCTTACCCTATAATAAATTTGTTTTTATTGTCTAGTGTTGGTGTTCTTACCCTATAATAAATTTGTTTTTATTGTCTAGTGTTGGTGTTCTTACCCTATAATAAATTTGTTTTTATTGTCTAGTGTAGAGGTCCTTACCCTATATCAAATTTGTTTATACTGACTAGTGTAGAGGTCCTTACCCTATATCAAATTTGTTTATACTGACTAGTGTAGAGGTCCTTACTCTATATCAAATTTGTTTATATTGTCTAGTGTAATTTGTTTATACTGACTTACCCTATATCAAATTTGTTTATATTGTCTAGTGTAGAGGTCCTTACTCTATATCAAATTTGTTTATACTGACTAGTGTAGAGGTCCTTACCCTATATCAAATTTGTTTATATTGTCTAGTGTAGAGGTCCTTACTCTATATCAAATTTGTTTATACTGACTAGTGTAGAGGTCCTTACTCTATATCAAATTTGTTTATACTGACTAGTGTAGAGGTCCTTACTCTATATCAAATTTGTTTATATTGTCTAGTGTAGAGGTCCTTACCCTATATCAAATTTGTTTATACTGACTAGTGTAGAGGTCCTTACCCTATATCAAATTTGTTTATATTGTCTAGTGTAGAGGTCCTTACTCTATATCAAATTTGTTTATACTGTCTAGTGTAGTGGTCCTTACCCTATATCAAATTTGTTTATATTGTCTAGTGTAGAGGTCCTTACTCTATATCAAATTTGTTTATACTGACTAGTGTAGAGGTCCTTACCCTATATCAAATTTGTTTATACTGACTAGTGTAGAGGTCCTTACTCTATATCAAATTTGTTTATATTGTCTAGTGTAGAGGTCCTTACCCTATATCAAATTTGTTTATATTGTCTAGTGTAGAGGTCCTTACTCTATATCAAATTTGTTTATACTGACTAGTGTAGAGGTCCTTACCCTATATCAAATTTGTTTTTATTGACTAGTGTAGGTGATCTTACCTCATATATATATATATATACATTTATTTTTTTATTGATCAGTGTGATTATTTATGTACTTACATTGATCAGCCCTGGCATCATTCAGGTAGTACAGTATAGGGACAAGAACATCCAACACATCACTGGACTTCAGTACATAAAACATGAACTTCTGTAACAATAAAATAAAGGTCAAGGTCAAAGACTGAATAATACAAACTCAAGTGACTGTGTGACAGTCATGACACTTCATGTTCATTTTCAGCTAGGTGGGGCTGATCAGGAAAGTGAGAAGGGAACTGCATCAAGGACCTTGCTATGTTGTAGTATTTCCACAGATTTTGCCAATTTCATTTTTCAAGACTCTTCAATTACAAATAATGAAATTAAAAAAAAAAAATTAACAACTTTCATTTCAGAAGAAAAACATACAAAATTTAACTGACACTTACCCCAAGACCTACCAATAAGTCATGGTGATACCTCACATTTCATTGCATGTAGATTTTCCATTTTTCAATGTCTAAAGGGTAAGTATGTTACTAATGTCACCTTTACACCAACAACAATAATACTAATGTAACCTTCACACCAACAATGTTACTAATGTCGTCTTCACACCAACAATGTTACTAATGTCACCTTCACATCAACAACAATGTTACTAATGTCACCTTCACACCAACAACAATGTTACAAATGTCACCTTCACACCAACAACAATGTTACTAATGTCACCTTCACACCAACAACAATGTTACTAATGTCACCTTCACACCAACAACAATGTTACTAATGTCACCTTTACACCAACAACAATGTTACTAATGTCACCTTCACACCAACAACAATGTTACTAATGACACCTTTACACCAACAACGTTACTAATGTCACCTTCACACCAACAACAATGTTACTAATGTCACCTTTACATCAACAACAGTGTTACTAATGTCACCTTCACACCAACAACAATGTTACTAATGTCACCTCCACATCAACAATGTTACTAATGTCACCTTCACACCAACAACAATGTTACTAATGTCACCTTCACACCAACAACAATGTTACTAATGTCACCTTTACACCAACAACAAGGTTACTAATGTCACCTTCACACCAACAACAATGTTACTAATGTCACCTTTACACCAACAACAATGTTACTAATGTCACCTTCACACCAACAACAATGTTACTAATGTCACCTTTACACCAACAACAATGTTACTAATGTCACCTTCACATCAACAACAATGTTACTAATGTCACCTTCACACCAACAACAATGTTACAAATGTCACCTCCACATCAACAATGTTACTAATGTCACCTTCACACCAACAACAATGTTACAAATGTCACCTTCACACCAACAACAATGTTACTAATGTCACCTTCACACCAACAACAATGTTACAAATGTCACCTTCACACCAACAACAATGTTACTACACCAACAACAATGTTACTAATGTCACCTTCACACCAACAACAATGTTAAATGTCACCTACACCAACAACAATGTTACTAATGTCCCTACACTGTGTTTATATCACACAAGGTTTAATGTCACCTTCACACCAACAACAATGTTACGAATGTCACCGTCACACCAACAGTAAAGTTACTAATTTCCTACCTTGTTTATATCACACATTTTCCAGAAGAGAACAAGGAGTTCCTGATGGATCTGGATTTTCTTGGCTGACCCCGGTAAATAGGTCTGCATTAACGGGTTGTTCAAGAGGCGTGTAATCCCTTTCAGGATAAAAGCAAAGTCCTACAAGAAAAAATATTTATCAAAAATTGAAATGAAGTGTATAAAATTCTTTCAGTTTGGAAAAAAAACTTTCTTCCTAGATTCAAACCTATATCTCATCTACCAACGATTACAATGTAGCATGTCTTACATAGAACATGTAATTATAATTTATGAGCTCAAAATGGAAACACAAAACTTGCCATTATCAAAAGCACAATTACGTATGTGGTATATTTTGCTGGACCTTAATGGTTTCAACCAGTTGGTGGCTGTGATAATGCATTCATTTCTTGAAATGTTTTGGTTTATGCAAAACACAATGTATGCCTTAAACATAGCTAAATCTGTTGTGCAAATTTATGAAAATTTGCTTTTGTAATAAATTTTAATCTGGAGATTCATTCTTGGAGCAGAATAACAGCGTTTATAATTAAATATTTATGACTATGATTAATTGAAGAGATGGCTGCCTATCATTTGCATGAATTTTTTGTTACCTCTTCTCGGTGGATTCTAGACAGGTAGTTCACAAACAAGTTGTCAGGTCCACCTGTCTGAAAAACACAAACCCAAGGAAAAGTATAATGAATGTATAGTTAACACAAACAGCACCAATTATCTATCACACAATATGTTCTCAGTATAGTGGACATTCATTCAATATTATTTAAAATTTACATTCTTCAATAGGTTATTTCTATGCTTCAGCTTGATAATTATATACATGTTATGACTGACATTGAATAGGTTTGACAAACATTAAATTCGATAGTCTGTGACTGAATATTCAGATTATGTTGCATGCATTATGTTTTAAATAAAACACACTGAGGGGCATATCGCATATCAATGACAGAATGCTTGATAAACATATATCCTTCTTCCCCTTGATGGGAAAAGAGTGAAACTTAAAAATAAATCATCTCTAGTTTTCAACCAAAAAATAATTCAGTTCAAAACATAGAAGACTTTTGAACTCATGTTTTTACCCTGTTAACTTTAAATATCAGACCCAAACAGAACAGTAAGCATCCTTAATCTATTTTTAACTGAGAAACAAAGCATCACATTTCCCTTCAGAGGTATAGTCCTAATACTTTTGTCCAGTACTTCAACAACTCCTCTAACAACTACTATTTAATATTTAACAACAATTTGAGAAGAAGAAAGAAGAATCTATTGTGATGACTTACTTCACTCTGCTGATCCATGGCAGTGCCCCCAGACGTCCCATCCACCGACACATTTGGCTGTGAAGACGAGTCATTCTCTAGTGTCACACACAGCACCTGTAGAGCCCCTTCCACCAGAGGTTCACTTGAGTCATTAAACATGAGGTGGTTGTAAGGTACGCCGTACCCAACAGGGTCATAAGCACACACAATATTCAGGAGGGAGGTAAAGAGGGGCAGGGCATGTCTGTAACAGAAATAAGGTTTACATACAGAAACAACAATGTGTTAAAGTATCATCCAATACATAACATACATTTACTGATTGACAGGCCATATCAGATGATTATAAAGCCAAATACACAAAAAAAACTTTAAAGATGGAATTTATAGGTGTTGGTAAACTGTTGAGAAGTACTAGATCTTCTAATAGAGATCTGTTCCTCACTAATTTCTGCTGGGAAGTACATAATACAATAATTAAGATCTGTTCCTAACTACATTGTGTTGAGGAGTACTTGATCCACTCACTAAGATCTGTTCCTAACTACATTCTGTTGAGGAGTACTTGATCCACTCACTAAGATCTGTTCCTAACTACTTTCTGTTGAGGAGTACTTGATCCACTCACTAAGATCTGTTCCTAACTACATTCTGTTGAGGAGTACTTGATCCACTCACTAAGATCTGTTCCTAACTACATTCTGTTGACTACTTGATCCACTCACTAAGATCTGTTCCTAACTACATTCTGTTGAGGAGTACTTGATCCACTCACTAAGATCCACTCACTAAGATCTGTTCCTAACTACATTCTGTTGAGGAGTACTTGATCCACTCACTAAGATCTGTTCCTAACTACATTCTGTTGAGGAGTACTTGATCCACTCACTAAGATCTGTTCCTAACTACATTCTGTTGAGGAGTACTTGATCCACTCACTAAGATCTGTTCCTAACTACATTCTGTTGAGGAGTACTTGATCCACTCACTAAGATCTGTTCCTAACTACATTCTGTTGAGGAGTACTTGATCCACTCACTAAGATCTGTTCCTAACTACATTCTGTTGAGGAGTACTTGATCCACTCACTAAGATCTGTTCCTAACTACATTCTGTTGAGGAGTACTTGATCCACTCACTAAGATCTGTTCCTAACTACATTCTGTTGAGGAGTACTTGATCCACTCACTAAGATCTGTTCCTAACTACATTCTGTTGAGGAGTACTTGATCCACTCAAGATCTGTTCTAAGATCTGTTCCTAACTACTTTCTGTTGAGGAGTACTTGATCCACTCACTAAGATCTGTTCCTAACTACATTCTGTTGAGGAGTACTTGATCCACTCACTAAGATCTGTTCCTAACTACTTTCTGTTGAGGAGTACTTGATCCACTAATAGAAATCAGTACTTGAACTACTTTCCATTGAGGACAGTACTGGATCAAATTATCAAGATCTTTACCTACCTATTTTCTGTAGAAGAAAAGTACTGGATCCATTGATTAGGGTTACTGTGGGCATCAGCTGTGACACAAAGACAGAATTGTAGTATTAAAAAAGAAATTCTGAGTAATTATCATTTGGTAAAAACAAAGATATGTTTACCATCACTGCAAATTCTGCAATATTTGAAATCTCAAAATAAAACATTCTTATGTTCTTGATGTCAGACTTTAATTTCTAGTGTATTTTTTTAGTATTTTCATTAATCATTGAAGTGTCCTTACCAACAGGAGGAAGGTACATAGTCTCTGAAAAGCAGGTGAGAAGAAGTTTGATGATTTCACATCGGTTCTGGTCGTAGTACTGATTCCTTGTAGGCGAGTGAGCAAACCCAACACCAGCCTCCCAGATATACTCACAGCTATCAATAGTGTGCATATCCTCTGGATTGTCCTGTAAAAAAATGGACAAAGAGGGTTTTCAGCTGTTGCTTTAAACTTTGCAGTCTTCACTTCTAAATATGCACAATTTTGATTACACCAATATAACAAGTACATACAGCCTAAGCAAATACAACAGGCCTATATTGGTCACCTGGTTCAGTTTACTGAAAATAAAAAGCATAACACTGATGTCTATTTAATGGCCTTTAAGGCCTTACCTTTCTGCCCCTGGAATAGCTCAGATAAACCATCTATACAAATTGAGCTCTCTTCACCCGAGGGGACAGAATCCAGATTTTTATATAAAAGAAGAAGGATTTCAATGAATCTGCTAGATTGATGTTATTGGGCCCTGTTTCTCAGGTTCAAGGAGAAGTCAGATTCACTGTTCACACAAAATCAGAAGCTTCTGACCAAATTTGATCAAAATCTACGGAGTTGTTCATGACTAGAAGCGAATGGTTGATGGATGGACATATGCATATATGCTGGACAACAGAAAACAGATGCCATGCCATGGCATAAGCTCACTGGTCCTTTGAACCAGGTAAGCTGAAAAATAAACATCTAAAATAATGAAATGTAGGGAAAATACTTACTGGTCCTGCCTTTCTACTGGAGGCCACAGTGAAGTCTGGGCAGAATAATAGATCCTAAAATATAAATATTACAATATCAGGACAGAGTAACAGATCCTAATGTACAAATGTTACAATATCAGGACAAAATAACATATCCTAATATACAAATGTTACAATATCAGGACAGAATAGCAGATCCTAATATACAAATGTTACAATATCAGGACAAAATAACAGATCCTAATATACAAATAATACAATATCAGGACAGAAAAACAGATCCTAATATACAAATGTTACAATATCAGGACAGAATAACAGATCCTAATATACAAATGTTACAATATCAGGACAGAATAGCAGATCCTAATATACAAATGTTACAATATCAGGACAGAGTAACAGATCCTAATGTACAAATGTTATAATATCAGGACAAAATAACAGATCCTAATATACAAATGTTACAATATCAGGACAGAATAACATATACTAATATAAAAATGTTACAATATCAGGACAGAGTAACAGATCCTAATATACAAATGTTACAATATCAGGACAAAATAACAGATCCTAATATACAAATGTTACAATATCAGGACAGAAAAACAGATCCTAATATACAAATGTTACAATATCAGGACAGAATAACAGATCCTAATATACAAATGTTACAATATCAGGACAGAATAACAGATCCTAATATAGAAATAATACAATATCAGGACAGAAAAACATATCCTAAAATATAAATATTACAATATCAGGACAGAAAAACAATTTGTAAAACACAAACGCTACAAAGTCTGGACAAAAGAAAAGATCCTACAACATACATATTATCAAGTAAAGACAGAATGACATATCCTAAAACATAAAAGGTTACAAAATCTGGACAAAATAGTAGATACTGAAATATAAATGTTAAAATGTCAGGACTGAGTTAAAGATCTCAAAATATAAATGTTACAACATCAGGACAGTATAATAGATCTTAAAACATAAATGTTAAACAATCTGAAGTTGTGGCAGAGCCAAAAATCCTAAAATATACATGTTACACTGTCTAATACATTAGAACCATTTTAAAGCCAAAATACATGCATCATTGGGCAAATTTACGAGATTATCAGAAATTTCGAAGAAAACTTCCAACTGGATAAATCTGCAAAAGTAAGATTGAAAAGTATCTATTTAGCAAAAGTAAGATTGAAATGTATCTATTTAGTAACACTTGGTGGGGATATCACTTAAAATACAAGTGATATTATTCAAAGTTCAGAAGGCTGTTAACACTTGGTGGGGATATCACTTAAAATACAGGTGATATTATTCAAAGTTCAGAAGGCTGTTAACACTTGGTGGGGATATCACTTAAAATACAGGTGATATTATTCAAAGTTCAGAAGGCTGTTAACACTTTGTGGGGATATCAAAACAAATTATTCAAAATTGATAAAAGTGATATTATTCAAAGTTCAGAAGGCTGTTAACACTTTGTGGGGATATCACTTAAAATACAGGTGATATTATTCAAAGTTCAGAAGGCTGTTAACACTTTGTGGGGATATCACTTAAAATACAGGTGATATTATTCAAAGTTCAGAAGGCTGTTAACACTTTGTGGGGAAGTTCAGGTGATATTATTCAAAGTTCAGAAGGCTGTTAACACTTTGTGGGGATATCAAAACAAATCAAAAAAATTGATAAAAGTGGGTCTTAAAATACAGGTGATATTATTCAAAGTTGATAAAAGTGGGTCCCACTTAAAATACAGGTGATATTATTCAAAGTTCAGAAGGCTGTTAACACTTGGTGGGGATATCAAAACAAATCAAAATTGATAAAATTGGGTCCCACTTAAAATACAGGTGATATTATTCAAAGTTCAGAAGGCTGTTAACACTTTGTGGGGATATCAAAACAAATCAAAATTGATAAAAGTGGGTCCCACTTAAAATACAGGTGATATTATTCAAAGTTCAGAAGGCTGTTAACACTTTGTGGGGATATCAAAACAAATCAAAATTGATAAAAGTGGGTCCCACTTAAAATTGATATTAAAAGTTCAGAAGGCTGTTAACACTTTGTGGGGATATCAAAACAAATCAAAATTGATAAAAGTGGGTCCCACTTAAAATACAGGTGATATTATTCAAAGTTCAGAAGGCTGTTAACACTTTGTGGGGATATCAAAACTTTGTGGGGACTTTGTGGGGATACACAAAGTTCAGAAGGCTGTTAACACTTGGTGGGGATATCACTTAAAATACAGGTGATATTATTCAAAGTTCAGAAGGCTGTTAACACTTTGTGGGGATATCAAAACAAATCAAAATTGATAAAAGTGGGTCCCACTTAAAATACAGGTGATATTATTCAAAGTTCAGAAGGCTGTTAACACTTTGTGGGGATATCAAAACAAAAAAATTGATAAAAGTGGGTCCCACTTAAAATACAGGTGATATTATTCAAAGTTCAGAAGGCTGTTAACACTTTGTGGGGATATCAAAACAAATCAAAATTGATAAAAGTGGGTCCCACTTAAAATACAGGTGATATTATTCAAAGTTCAGAAGGCTGTTAACACTTTGTGGGGATATCAAAACAAAACTGATAAAAGTGGGTCCCACTTAAAATACAGGTGATATTATTCAAAGTTCAGAAGGCTGTTAACACTTTGTGGGGATATCAAAACAAATCAAAATTGATAAAAGTGGGTCCCACTTAAAATACAGGTGATATTATTCAAAGTTCAGAAGGCTGTTAACACTTTGTGGGGATATCAAAACAAATCAAAACTGATAAAAGTGGGTCCCACTTAAAATACAGGTGATATTATTCAAAGTTCAGAAGGCTGTTAACACTTTGTGGGGATATCAAAACAAAATTGATAAAAGTGGGTCCCACTTAAAATACAGGTGATATTATTCAAAGTTCAGAAGGCTGTTAACACTTTGTGGGGATATCAAAACAAAATTGATAAAAGTGGGTCCCACTTAAAATACAGGTGATATTATTCAAAGTTCAGAAGGCTGTTAACACTTTGTGGGGATATCAAAAGGCTGTTAACACTTTGTGGGGATATCAAAACAAACAAATCAAAATTGATAAAAGTGGGTCCCACTTAAAAAGTGGGTCCCACTTAAAATACAGGTGATATTATTCAAAGTTCAGAAGGCTGTTAACACTTTGTGGGGATATCACTTAAAATACAGGTGATATTATTCAAAGTTCAGAAGGCTGTTAACACTTTGTGGGGATATCAAAACAAATCAAAATTGATAAAAGTGGGTCCCACTTAAAATACAGGTGATATTATTCAAAGTTCAGAAGGCTGTTAACACTTTGTGGGGATATCAAAACAAATCAAAATTGATAAAAGTGGGTCCCACTTAAAATACAGGTGATATTATTCAAAGTTCAGAAGGCTGTTAACACTTTGTGGGGATATCAAAACAAATCAAAATTGATAAAAGTGGGTCCCACTTAAAATACAGGTGATATTATTCAAAGTTCAGAAGGCTGTTAACACTTTGTGGGGATATCAAAACAAATCAAAATTGATAAAAGTGGGTCCCACTTAAAATACAGGTGATATTATTCAAAGTTCAGAAGGCTGTTAACACTTTGTGGGGATATCAAAACAAATCAAAATTGATAAAAGTGGGTCCCACTTAAAATACAAGTGATATTATTCAAAGTTCAGAAGGCTGTTAACACTTTGTGGGGATATCAAAACAAATCAAAATTGATAAAAGTGGGTCCCACTTAAAATACAAGTGATATTATTCAAAGTTCAGAAGGCTGTTAACACTTTGTGGGGATATCAAAACAAATCAAAATTGATAAAAGTGGGTCCCACTTAAAATACAGGTGATATTATTCAAAGTTCAGAAGGCTGTTAACACTTTGTGGGGATATCAAAACAAATCAAAATTGATAAAAGTGGGTCCCAAAAAGTGGGTCCCACTTAAAATACAAGTGATATTATTCAAAGTTCAGAAGGCTGTTAACACTTTGTGGGGATATCAAAACAAATCAAAATTGATAAAAGTGGGTCCCACTTAAAATACAAGTGATATTATTCAAAGTTCAGAAGGCTGTTAACACTTTGTGGGGATATCAAAACAAATCAAAATTGATAAAAGTGGGTCCCACTTAAAATACAAGTGATATTATTCAAAGTTCAGAAGGCTGTTAACACTTTGTGGGGATATCAAAACAAATCAAAATTGATAAAAGTGGGTCCCACTTAAAATACAAGTGATATTATTCAAAGTTCAGAAGGCTGTCAAGGAAAAAAAAAGAACATGTGACCAATCTGCATACTAGAATGTAAAGGTGTAGTAGACATGTTTAGAAATTATGTTCCCTGTTGTATGTACTGTGCACTTTTTGTGACATCATTTCTCAGGTAGACTGCAAGTGTATAATCATTCAAGGGCTCATGTAAAGTCTGAATAAGTCTTATACACGTCTATAGTAAATACCAACTTCTCACAGAAATGTCTAAATAATTTTCAGACTTCTGTTCAGCAAAGATCTTAAGTGTAGCATTTTTACACAAAGTGAACCTCAACAGCTTTTCTATCAATACCAGCCCATGATATTGCCTCGAGTATTTCACATGTAAGTTAATTCTAATTATTTCATCATATTTTCTCTTCATTCTTTTGGCAAAATTTGCATATATTAGGGCTTTAAATAATTATTCTACACAAACATTTGTACATTTTATATACATTAATATGTCCTGGATATATATATGATTGGTGACACAAATATGCATGTAGTGTTGTTCTGCCACTACTAACGTGGAAAAAGTGGGACATCATGAGGTACAATAATTGACTGACCTTCCAATGAATTGAAATGGTTCATAAGGAGTTGACATCCCACAGAAAAGGGAAGATTATACTTACAGACATAGCATTTATCAGGGATTGTGCCAATGGTGGACTTTCATTCTGGAACAAACAAAAAAATGTATTATTCAACATTACATATTATAGACTGCAGCAAATGATCAATCCTAACTTGACGAACCATGTCATGTGACAAGTCAGTAAATCTGTTATGGACCTTGTTCCATAAATAGCAAACTGTTACAGACCTTAATCAGTAAATAAAAAAATATTACAGATCGCAACTAAAATAGGTTGAAGTATTTCCCCATCTATTGATTAACGGTTTTTCAAAATTCAGCATAATTTGAAAACTTGACTGCTTTGAGCTTCATGAATATAACAGCAACATTGAAAATATTTAGTTATGTCCTAGGTCAACTCCAATTAATTATGTAATGTCACAAACACATAACTCAGTGCCTTTCCCATACCTAGATTTAAACAACTGTAGCAATTGCACAATTAATTTCAAATTCAAGTAGTCAAATAACTACATAATGCTGATTGTGCAAATGACATTTATTTGCAATTAATTTCACACACTGTGTGTGTGTCATTCATATCTGAAGTATTCCACTCAGTAATTAAAAAAAAAAAAACATGAAAATGTGTTCCTGGCATGAAATATGACTAACCTCATGATATGTCATATAATAAAACAGTTGTGAACTTAAGTTTCAGTCTATCTCTGATTTATGCACCTAGTCTGAACAATGTTCAGCTCGGCCTTCAGCCCTGGTGAATATCATTCAGACCTGGTCCATAAATCGGGTATGGGTCTCATCTGAAGTCTATAATTGTAAAACACTTACCAATGTGCTTTATTGCAGGTGGCCTGGTGAATTATTATAGATTTGTTGAGACTACTATAAACTATATGATAAGTCAGTGACAGGTTTACAAGCATTTATGCAATAGGTACATCAGGACTTGAACAGACACTTCTACCAGCCCACTGACAATTTAGTCTCCATGGTACAATATACAGCTTTATCATATTACACGGATCATTTCCCTTATTACAGCTTATGTCAAAAACAACTTTCATATTGATGAATGAAAAAGTGTAGATGAATTATTGGTTGTAATGCCTACTGTGGGTACTGACCTCTACTTCCTCGGACTGTCCAGGAAGAGTAGACCAGAAAAACCCTCTCCAGTCAGGATCCTCAAATATGTAAGGTAGAACTCTGGTCAAAAGTCTCACACAGTTTAACACTGCAACACACATCAGACAACAAGCCTCAACATAATGATTCATGCAATATACTTATGTGGTTTACAAGTAGAGGATTATTCTTGTATATACCTTTAAACAGTTCACTAAATCATCAAAACCCTACCCTTCTTTTAATGATGAACATATATGTTCAGATTAAATATCCTTTTTTCTGTCTGATTTATTGATGGAATTTCTTCAGTAATTTTTGAAGGGTTTTTTTGCAGTTAAGTCTAGAACATCAATTCCAAAATTTTGAAGAGTTCCAATACTTAGAGATATAGTGGGTCATCAGAATTTAAGCGAGGAAAAGCATGTCCAGGAGTCAAATATCTGAATCCCAAAAGTTACTGACAGCATCATTTATATAAATTTTGGAGAGAGCAAATGTCACTTGTTGTTGCACATCATTCTATTGATAAGTGAGATCATTTGATGTACACCATGGCCACTAATAGAATTACATAGATGGCCATTATTTATAGCAACATCAGAACATATTTCAATTAAGAATTTTTTTTTCACATATACATCTTTTAGGACAAATGTATACAATGTATTAAGAACAGATTTTCTTTACACTTATATATTCCAGACTTCTTTGTGTCCCTTTTAAACTTCCTAGCTATTATAAACATGTATGAACTTTGTCACTGATAAATAAACTTACACAAAATTAGGCTACTAGGTGACTAATTATATTTGTATCACTTTGATATTTTGCACATTTGTAAAATGTTAATCTTTTATGTTGGCATAATTTTATTTTCTAAGTGAAGTTTCTCACTTAAAATTAACAGCAAGAATTCTTGCAAGTATCCTGTTTTTTATCAAGCAAAATGTAAATAGGTTATTTTGGGCAACTGGAACATTTTCTCAAAAAGAAAGTTGTCTCGTTATCTAACATGTACCTGTTTGCTGTTCTCGCTGGGAAGGACAACCACTTTCTGCAGCAGATACAAGCTTTTCCACAGCCTTGTAACATAGTGTGGCAAGATTTGATGGAGATTCTTCTCTCAGAGCTCGGATCTCTGCAGCGGGGATTAATGTGAAAACATCTTGGACACAAGTCACACTTTCAGACCAAAACTGTTCCCAAAATGCCTCATCAGTGGCCTCTATTGGCTACAAAATAAAAATGTCTCTTCTTACATAGTGGTAATTACTATGCATATAGTAGTCATATTCTAGCATTAACAATGGTAACATAAGGAAGAAGGGGAATGTAAAGAAATGGTAACTGATATCATATAATTACTTTCATATGAAATGGAAATTGAACATGAACCTATTCTATACCAGGTACTGGAATTTGAACTGAGAATCTCCATAGTTACATGAATATTCTATATGTCAGGTCTACATTTTTGAAACTGAACATACCTGTTTACTGAAATTCATGCATATTAAGGGAATAGGTTAAAACATGCATCCATTAATAGCAATGAACTGAAAAGGCTATTTCACACCATCTTTCATGTACTTACCGTATTTTTCCTTACTGCTGCTGGTATTAATATACAAATGCTTCTTTTTTACCTCATTAATCTTTTAATTACTAATGAAGTTTAATTAAAATATCTATCTGTGAAATATCATTAAAGACACAAACAATCAGTGTCAAGTTATTTCATTTTTGTTTTTGTTTTGTTCAGTCGATCTTGATCATATAACGTTAATATTTTGAAACACATTTTGTTGCACAACTCAACTACCATCGTAATTATATGATATAAATGAAGAACCAAATGCTTGCAATTCGGACAATTTACTTTAACAGGCTTTGAAATAGTTCTTTCGTTGCTTTTTGTTCCAATCGCTTCATTTGAAGCATATATCAACAAAATGTGTTGTTAAATATGGTTGTTGTTAATGTTCGTTGCGCTCATAAATTATCAGATTATATTGTTTTTATCAGTCATTCCGGTTTGACTTGTTCCTTTTAATTTAAAATAACGACTGGCAGAAAGTATTTTTCTGTGAAATGCATTTGGCGTTTATCTTGAACCATAACTTTATCACATGTATGAGGGTCTTCACATGACAAAGCGTAGATAGCTCGATAACGTTAAAGTAGAGGAAAATCAATAAACCGAAACGACGGTCGCATTATATCGACAACATCCGCAACTATTTTACGGTAGTAACACGCTGTCCACACAAAAATTACCTACTATAAACATGAAAAATGCAAACCTGTGTCTTTGTTGTTAACTGTATAACAGCTTTACGAAAATTAAGCTTGGTGTCTGTGTTTCCCATCGTCTAAATCCGCCTTGTTGGCACTTCATTCACAGATGTTTTTTTTGTTGACTATTATCATAGGAGAGGTAGCTGAAGGGAGACTACTCAAAGATAATAACCTTGATGTCATAGGTAGCGGACTATAATTTATTTGATTTTTTTCCCTGGAGTGGAAGGGAGTTCACTTTTACGATTCGATTACTTTGATACCTCCAATTAAATCTTCAAATTTTCATAATCAACAGATAATTCAATTTGATATTTTTACCTTATTCACCGATACATTTTTTGTTTCAATTAAAACCAACAAAAGGTTGGGTATCAAGAGTGCTCATCATGGTTACCTTTTCTTTACAAAAAACTTTCATTGTAAATGCTGGTGTAGATTGTGTAGTTGCCGTAACATTCGATCAACATGAATTAAGGCTTAGGTTAAATATTAGTTGTTATTTTGAAATCTATATTAAGGAGGGTGATTAAAACTAGCACATTACCTTGCAATTATTTAAGGAATACCATGTTCTGAGGGAATATTACAGTAAAACGTACTTTTTTTGTTTTCTTTTCTCAAAGTTCTGCATTACCAGATGAGGTACTTATCATTCAGGAAAAAAGCATTCAGAATTTGCAAAGAAATAAACAAAATAATACTGCTTATTAAATTCCTAGAGAATCTTTATTCATTAGCCAATGATATAATGGAACTGTAATAAATTCCTGTAAAGATCACCACAAACCTATAGGAAGTGCTGTTATACAGTGTATAGTCATTCTAATATATTAAATTTTTGTGAAGAATTCTGGTGAAGGACTTCAATCCATAGTCTCACATTGACATTACTGGCTGTCGTGACTCGACAAGTCAATACGGGAGGTTAAAGATACAGCTTTAACATCTAGACATAATTTGGAGTGTAAAAATATGTCCATTCAATTTTTAATGTTTTTACCAAGCTGTTTGAAAATAGCAAAGTTTGACTGTCGATGACATTTCAATCAAGTAAATGCATGTACCAATAAATTTAAAGGTGCACAGATATTCCTTTTTATTACTTACATGACTTAACTAACCTTGAACAAGAAGCTTCATGGGCCATCATTACTTATTTGTTACAAATTATACAACTGTCATCTTCAAAGCCTTTCATTCCACAATGGTACTACTTTAATATCACGACCATGTGCCTTTTCATTATTGAGAAGTCGTTTAAACATTTCAACACATTTGACAAATGAGATCATGAATATAGGTCTAGGACACAAGGTTGTTTTTTTTATGTGTAGGTGGTAAGTATTGTCAATTTCACTAAGTACAACTTAATAATATCTGGTGTATGTGTATAAACAGATCAAACAAATGTGTGGTTTCAGTCAACACTTTTATTGAACTTTTAAAAAAAGTTTGGCACATAGTTATTTACTATTGCAATCTATGACTTCGATACACACTTTGTAAATAAATAAGATTCACATATGATCTATATTAGTCTAAGGATTACCTGTCAATCTCACACATACATTTTCAGTAAAACAAACAAGAGGCCTAAGGGGATGAAACTCCTCACCTGTTCTGAAGCTTACAAAGAAGACCCATTTCCAAAGCATTCTACTACACAAATACCAAGACTCATGGTCTATCTGTTATTGAATAGAAAAAGTATGGATTTCTTAACATGTTTGACCTCTGTGACTTAGAAAGTGGGTCAGTGTCATTCTTTTAAACAAAGTTTGCAGCCCTTTATCCCACCATTCTACTGGCCCGTTATCATGATACCAGGATTCTTGGTTATTGAGAAACAATTTTCAAAGTTGGATATTAAATGTAGGTCAAGGTCACTTATTGGACAAACATGGGAACCCCTCATCAAAGCATGCTACAAGTCCAATATCAGTACCCTTGGTATCTTGGTTAGTAAGAATTATTTAAAGATCTTAAGACATTTGACCTTAAAAGTGGGTGGAGGTCATACATCTGGACAAACTTGGTAGCCCTCAATCCCATCTTGCCACAGGCACAATATCAGTACCTCGGATCTCTTGAATATTGAGAGGGGGTTGTTTTGATGATTGTTTACACATTTGACTCTTATGAAGATGACAAAAATCAAGGTAATAAAGTTAGTAGCCCTATATCAAAGCATGCGACTACAGGCTAAATGTCAGTTACCTAGGCCTTTCAGTTCTTCAGGAGAAGCTATTTGAAAATTTCAATATATTTGGCCCTGTGACCATGAAGGAAAGTGAAGATCAGTCATTTAAACAGACTTTGCAGCTCTCCATCCCAGCATGCTACTGCAGGTCCAATGTCAGAGACCTTTCAGATCTTGAGAAGAAGTTTTTGAAAGGGAAAGCTGACAGCGGACAATGGACGACAAACTATGGCATATGTTCACTTTTTTTTTGGACAGGGGTGAACTAAAAATATTTTCAATTCTTGAAAGAAATGAACTATAAATAATCATCAATATTACACATCACACTGTTAGTCATCTGTCAGACAAAACAATCATCCTTCAGTATATATTTTTATAATCAGATAACAAACAAATAGCTGAGCTAGCACCATCCTCCAAAAAGGCATTTAAACAATGTGCTCACCAGGTAATTGAAGTTAATTCCATGTGTGGCTTGCATTATATTGGTATTTGTCTATCAGCATATGTCAGTCAAATTTTCAGACTCATCAAAGAAAACAATACATTAAGTTAGGATATATGCAAATCCTGCAGTCCAAAAACACTGGTAAAGCAGACAGGAAGACTGACTGTCACATCACACAATAAATCTAATCAATTAGCACCAAGGTAAATAGTTCAAACATAATTTTTGCAAAAAATAACTAAAAAAGGAAAAATTAAATATCCTCCATATATTGTATATATTTCATAGCTCAAACAATAAATTTCTGATTATGTGTATGATGGATGGAGTAAATATCTGAATAAAGAAGTTGTTATATTACATCATCCATGAGAGCTATGTAACTTAAAAATAATCCAATACATGTATCAAGAAAGACAACATCTAGAAGGAAAAGAAACAAAAATCATAAATAAAACAAATGTCTTTTCTATTTTTACACAAATTTTATGAAACAGACAATAAATATAACTATTACTTCTATTTTTCAGCTATGTGTTCTTCTTACATTAACTTCAATCTAATCTGATGCAGTTTCAGTAGAATTACCAACAAAAGCTATGACATTGTCTTTGGGTGCTTAAGTTCATCTTCCAACTTTGTGTCAGGGATGGTTTTGGCTCCCTGGCCTTATTGCAGGACAAACACAAGCATTGTATGTCCTTTCTAATTGCTCTTCATAGTATCTTGAGAAGTTTGCCATCAAACCTGTATGTCTGTAGCAGATATGGAAATTGAACGGTCAACAATAGATTCTGTGTAGATGAGTTACAACAACTGAACTAAGTAAGTGATTAACCTAGAAAACACAGGAATATAAGGGAACAGATGAAATCAATATAAACAACAAAACGGCACATTGTAGCATTACCATTATACAGAGATTCTGCTATGTAAGTAGCAAATAACCTATTGCACTGATTGTCATTAATCTATTGCACAGACTTAGTCCACTACTAAACCAAACCTCCCCCTCTCTCTCTCTTCTTGTGATGGCTCTTCCTCTTCTTCCTCTTCACCTAAAACGTCGTACATCAAAACATAATCTTTTAACTTGCTTGCTAATGTCAGACTTTTCACTTTGACTTCAGGTCTACTCCCTAACTTTTCCCTAATCATAGCTCGGGAGATATCCTGTAGTTTTCTTGGGTGTTTCAAGGTCTGATCAAACAAAGCAAGTATTGCCTTCTTTTGAGCAGGTGTGTACTGAGTATTCATGTCCCTTGATGTCCTCAGGATGTCTGACAAAATCTTAATGAGTTTGTATGGGATATTAAAGTAAAATTTCATATATAACATCAACAGTTTGATATTCTTGTGGGTCAAAGCCAGAAACAGAGGTTCGAGGTCAAAATGTGGATGTGGGTCCTCCCTCACTATACAACAGGGCAACACCTTGCGGACTTTGGCTTGTCCATTGAGATCGCAACCATATCTGAGCAGCACCATAGCAACATCTACACTGTTCTCTTCTGTGGCAGCCATAATTGGGGTCATGCACTTTTCATTCATCTGAAATGTGGAAAATGTCACCATTGCTTTATTTTTCTATGACTTAGCTTTGTGTAATCCAAAGAAATAATTTTTCAATCTAGACACAACATCACGATATTGACGAAGATATTTCTATGTGATATAAAACAATTGGAAACATGGATTCATGAAGGCTATAATTGGCTTGTCTAATTAGGAAAGCAAAAAATTGTTTGAAATGATTTTCTTTGAAACTTCCCCTTTTCCCACTGAAAATTTTAAAATGTGCATCGTTTTAATCCCTTAAAGGGTTTTGGCAACAATTTTGGTTTAGTCTGATATATGGAATTATGAAAAATCATGGCCAAAACCCTTTAAGTATAGAAATCTGACTAAAGAACACAATAATGATTAGATCTCCAATCTATCTCAGCTTATCGATACAGCATTCTTGTTAACTGAAGAGTGATTCTATGTTTGGATTTTCTCACCTGGTTGATGTTACAGCCAGCTTTAATGAGTATCTTGGCTACCTTGGAGTGGTTGTTGATGACAGCAACATGAAGTGGAACAGTTGAATGCTTTGTGCCATTCAGGAGACATTTTGGCATGCTGACAAGTTTCTCTGTCACTGTTTCATTACCTTTTTCAGCAGCTGTATACAGAGGGGTCTGCAGCTTGGCTGTGACAGCATTGATATTACACCCTGTTATACAGGAAAACATACATTCATTCAATACTACAAATTTTAAAAAGTTTCAGTGTGCCTGTACTGTCTGATGACCTATTAAAGAAAATGGACTGATAATGTTGCCTTTCAGTAGTAAAATGCAAGCTGTCATTTTTATAGGCAATAGCATCAAATACTCAATTAATTCCTCCCTAGCACCACATACTCCTATGCATTCTTTTATTTTAGAAACTGCTAATGTTTCCCTAGCACCATACACTCATATGCATACTTATATTTTAAGAAACAGTAGATGTCTCCCTAGCACTACATACTCCTATGCAAACTTACATTTTAGAAACAGTAAATATTCATTTGTTGATTTAATTTCCAAAACATTGTACATTTCATTTTTTCTTTTTCTTTTGTTTTTTTTGGCATGGTAAAATGCTTTCACGCAATTTCAATTTTCCTTCAGGAGACAAATTAGCATAAGTACTTGTGTACTTGTTTTTCAATCTTCTTTGTTAATTTATGTATTTGTTTTGTCCTTTCCACATACTGAATAAAATAGTCTAAACTACATGAGCCATTATCTTTTCCAAAAGGATGACAACAAACCATCATCTCTTGAGACACTCTTATACAAGGTTACAACTGTTCATAAGTCAATTACATTTAGAGACAGTAGTTCATACGAAACAATTATTCTGTCTTTACCTGATTCTATCAACAGTAGAGCTGCCTCTGTGTAGTGCTGTATGATAGCTTGATGTAGGACAGAACAGTTTGACTTCTTCTCTTTCAAATTAATGTCGCTTCCAGAATTTATAAGGGCTTTTACGATCTGACAATAAGTAACAAAACAGCCAAATTAAAGTATAGAATTACTAAGAGTAATTAACTATTTTATATGGTAAAGGAATGGTCTTGTTTCAGCTATGTATAGATCAGAACATTTCAATATTTTCATGAGTAAGCTGGAATGGGCATTTTTAAATCTAGAGAAGTAGTGTGTCAGGAAGTACTGTAACTTCTGGTAAGCCGTGTACAAGTGTCATGATACACACGAGATGTTTTAACTTTCAAGTATCATTTGATATATCGTTGATCTTTCTGCATTTGAAATCAACAACTGTCTTTTCATAAATTATAAATTTGAATATGACATGTCTGTCAGTTCAGTATGAATTCTGTAGTTATAAGTACAGTATATCTTCAGTACTTTAGACATGTTTAGAGTCTGAAATGCATTTTTAACCCTAATGTTTTGTAGGTGTATACTATGTACCTGGATGTCGCTTCGGCAGATAATTGCTGCAAACAAGGCATGCTCACCATTGGAGTTGGTTTTATTCACGTCACAGCCTGTAATACAGAAAGGATATATGTCCTTCACTGTATGTATTTTGGTATGATTCTAAAACTTTTCCATATGGTAAAGGAACAGTCTTGTTTCAGTAATGTTTGGATCAGAACATTCCAATATTTTCACTAGTAAGCTGGTATGGGCACGGCTAACTCTAGAGAAAATGTAGTGTGTCTGGAAGTACTTAATACTCATTATATGTATTATATCAATAAAAGTGAAACCAAACACTGAACCAAATTTGATACTGATTTCCTGAACAAATAAAAATAAATAGGTACACAACCTTCTTGAAAATATAAGGTGAAAACAAAAAAGAATCTTTCTGTGTCTTTTTTCATATCTTTTTCTTTGCTAAGGTAAGAATATATATTATGAGCACTTTTAAAGTGCCAGTTTCTCCTTCATTATTTTACAGAAGTAACAAGAGAACCCAGAGGGATCTTGGCCCCCAACATTGTTTGATCTTTATTTACTCTTTGGAAGTTGGATCTTTTCCCTTCTCTTCCCTTTTCTTTTCTGTTTTTGCTCTTAATGATAAGAAATTTGAACATTCCTTTGCAGAAATAGCAATGATTATCTTTAACTGCTAATTCCAAGATGGTCGCCTGGAAGTCATTTAGTTTTTCTGATCAGTCCTAAACTCAAACAGGCACAACTAGGGACCAAAAGGAACCTAAGCATGAAATCTGAGAAAGATCTATGGTTCTCGAGAAACAGCGACAACAAATTGTTTACGGATGGACAGACCATGGATGTAGAGTGATTTGAATAGCTCACCATCTGATGGTGGTGGGCTAAAAATGTTAATTGTGATAAATTCTGACCTGTTGACAATAATGTGCTGACTACTTTCAGATTATTTCCCATTGCTCCGGCATGCAGGACTGTGTTTCCAGTTTTTGTTTGTAGAGTCACATCAGCGTGACCTTCCAGTAATATCTTGGTTATTTCTGTCCAAACAGATGATATATTATTTTGTGACTTATTCATGGCAATCAAAAATACTCAAAGCAGTTGTAAATACATTAAACAAATTATTTATACATTCAAAAATACAGAGAAGATAATCGAATAGTGAACCTCAATTGAACACTTAACACTCAATACATATCAGAAGAGGTATAGAACTAATACTTTAACATGACTAAACATTTATTCTATATAATCTACTAGATAAGCTTTATAACTGATTCTAAATTGAGCACTTTGTACCTTAGTACATAGAATCTCATGTGTAAAGTGTAATCACCACCAAACTTTTAAGACAACCATTCTTCTCACTATGACAAGTTACCTTGGTTACCAGCTAAAGCTGCCTGATACAGAGGCGTCCATCCTTCACTATCTGGCTGGTTCACATCACACTTCCCAGAAACAAGAATCCTCACAAGTGCCAATGCATTCTCAGTTGGAGAACCAAACATTTCAGAAACTGAAATATTGATAAATGATATGTAAATTAATACTTTTCTTTCAGCAAAATGTTCACAATGTTGTAATGAAACTTTTATCAAAATGTTCACAATGTTGTAATGAAAAAACGAAGCAAGAATTAAAGAATCCAATTTCAGTAGATTTGTGTAGTGGTGTATATAGTCACTTTCATCTACTGCTGATTTGTTGTTGAACTGGAAAAAAGCCCCATGGAGGGTCATCTGATGTTTGCATGTGCATTTGTTCACCGAGCTGAGAAGTCACTGAAGCCCTTTTCTCCTCAAAGTTATCTACACTTATCTAACTGTGTCCTATTCACTTCTACCCTGCAGTACATGTTAACTAAGCTCTGACCAGCAAGACCAGAAATGTTTTGCTGGCGAGTGATAAGCAGTGCCCATTTTTGAGACAAAACAGTACATATAAATTAAAATGATTTATCAAGCCAAGAGTTCTGCTGAAACTGTGCTACAGCCTTAATATCACAGAGTAAGTTTACACTGACAGATATCAGTGATTCTGTCCTAATATCACAGAGTAAGTTTACACAGACAGATATCAATGATTCTGTCCTAATATCACAGTGTAAGTTTACACTGACAGATATCAGTGATTCTGTCCTAATATCACAGAGTAAGTTTACACAGACAGATATCAGTGATTCTGTCCTAATATCACAGAGTAAGTTTACACTGACAGATATCACTGATTCTGTCCTAATATCACAGTGTAGGTTTACACTGACAAATATCACTGATTCTGTCCTAATATCACAGATTAAGTTTACACTGACAAATATCAGTGATTGTGTTCTAATTATAATATCACAGAGTAAGTTTACACTGACAAATATCAGTGATTGTGTTCTAATTATAATATCACAGAGAAAGTTTACACTGACAAATATCACTGATTCTGTCCTAATATCACAGAGAAAGTTTACCCTGACAAATATCACTGATTCTGTCCTAATATCACAGAGAAAGTTTACCCTGACAAATATCACTGATTCTGTCCTAATATCACAGATTAAGTTTACACTGACAAATATCAGTGATTGTGTTCTAATTATGACAAATATCAGTGATTGTGTTCTAATTATAATATCACAGAGAAAGTTTACACTATCATATTATAACAGAGAAAGTTTACACTGACAAATATCAGTGATTGTGTTCTAATTATAATATCACAGAGAACGTTTACACTGACAAATATCACTGATTCTGTCCTAATATCACAGAGATTCTGTCCTAAGTTTACACTGACAAATATCAATTGTGTTCTAATATAATATCACAGAGAAAGTTTACACTGACAAATATCAGTGATTGTGTTCTAATATCACAGAATATCACAGATTAAGTTTACACTGACAAATATCAGTGATTGTGTTCTAATTATAATATCACAGATTAAGTTTACACTGACAAATATCAGTGATTGTGTTCTAATTATAATATCACAGAGAAAGTTTACACTGACAAATATCAGTGATTGTGTTCTAATTATAATATCACAGAGAAAGTTTACACTGACAAATATCACTGATTCTGTCCTAATATCACAGATTAAGTTTACACTGACAAATATCAGTGATTGTGTTCTAATTATAATATCACAGAGAAAGTTTACACTGACAAATATCAGTGATTGTGTTCTAATTATAATATCACAGATTAAGTTTACACTGACAAATATCAGTGATTGTGTTCTAATTATAATATCACAGAGAAAGTTTACACTGACAAATATCAGTGATTGTGTTCTAATTATAATATCACAGAGTAAGTTTACACTGACAAATATCAGTGATTGTGTTCTAATTATAATATCACAGAGAAAGTTTACACTGACAAATATCAGTGATTGTGTTCTAATTATAATATCACAGATTAAGTTTACACTGACAAATATCAGTGATTGTATTCTAATTATAATATCACAGAGTAAGTTTACACTGACAGATATCAGTGATTGTGTTCTAATTATAATATCACAGAGTAAGTTTACCCTTTTAGAATTTGGTATTTCTTTCCTTACATCACAAAGCAAGCTTATATATAATTACCCCGAGAGACTTCAGTGATTCTGTCCTAATATTACCAAGTATGCTTACCCTGACGGACAGCAGCATGTATAGGAGCCAGTTTTTGGCGGTCTGCTAAGTTCACATCACACCCTGAAGTGATGAGAAGCTTGGCTATGTCAAGAGACCCTGAAGAAGAACTTCCTATAGCATCTGTTGTAACAGAAAACATGAATTACATTTGAACACAAACAACATAAAACTAAATGGGATAAGGGTATTTCTATGTTGAGTGACCAGATTCAATTCTCCAAAAGAACCTGAAAAGAACTACACAGGTATTTCAATGTACTCTCACTGTTAGATCCTCAGCTACTTTGATCCTGGTGGAGTAAAGTGTCAAAAATAAGTTGACATAACTTGTGTCACAATTGTAAATTGTGAATAAAACAAAATTCATAACTTTTCCATAGAATTGCTGAGTTGAAATTATCAAACATGAATTCCACACAGAAAGTAATATAGTGTACAGAAAATGAAATTTTAGAAATAAATAGATGTGATTTTGTTGTCAAATCCTAAAATTTGTGATCAATTAAATTAAACTACCATTTCTACTATTTACACACATTCATAGTTTTCTAGATATTTAATTTAGTTCCAGCAGCATAACTTTAAAATAAATTAAGAGATTTAACAGTGTACTGTGACCACACTGACATACCAAGCAAGGGTGTACATCCTTTAGTAGTTTGAAGGTTCAAATTGGCCTTTGTTTTAATGAGTTTCTGTGTAACTTCTATATGTCCTTGTGATGCAGCACAATAGAGAGCTGTTCTTCCTAAGTTGTCTTGCTTGTCTGGGTCTGCACCTGAATGTTTCAATTTGGTGAGCAGTCGTTACCTGGTACATGTTTAGAGAGAGGGACATGATAATAGAGTAATGGCCATGTCCAAATATGTTATATATTCTGTACAAGATTAACTTCAAAACTTTCATGATCAATTACTGGTAATTTCCATAATTTACTTAACTTTCTGTCTGTATTTCTAACATTTAGAGAAAAGTTCATGGTCCAGAGTCTCCTAAATTCTAAAATACCATGAATGGTGATTAAACATGTAAACCTCAAACAGGAAAAAAGAAGAAAATCTTATGATGGAAGGTAACACATACATCGTTTGTTCTTAAAAAGAATTCATACCTCCTCCGAGCAGAGATTCGACTACATCTGAAAACCCAAGGTCTGCTGCCCATATCAAAGGTGTTTTCCTGTTTTCATCTCCAGGATTCATGTTACAAGTGGAGCTCTTCAATAAGTCCACTATTTCCACATGTCTCTGCTTAGCTGCTGTGTGGAGTGGAGTTTGACCATGAGAGTTTTGTATGTTAGAATCAGCCCTGGCTTTTAACAGAAGGTTGCAGATACAGGCATGACCTTTGTAGGCACATGTATTCAGTGGTGTACAACCAAGGTCATTCTGAGAGTCAACATCTGCTTTATTCTGTATCAATAATTCTGCTACGTCATCAAATCCTCGCCAACAAGCTATGTTGAGGAGGCTGTTCATGTCTGAGTCTATTTTGTTCACATCGGCCCCTTTCCTAATTAGAGGCACACACATGTCATGTAAACCTTCTTTTACAGCTAACTGTAAAGCTGTCTGACCACGATACTGGAAATCCACATCAAAATCTTCCTCCATCATCTGTTGTACAACATTAACCTGGTTTTGAGAAATGGCATCTTGGAGTTTTCTTATTCGTCTTCTCTTTTCCCTTTTCTCAAACCCTGATCTAGTATTATCTGAAAAGTTTAAAAGATTTATGAAAACATATAAGCATATCTCCAAATATTGCTAAGCCAGTTCCCTTGTAGGGCTTTTTGTCTCAACACTTCACTTATGATTTCACATAAAAAATTAAGTGTTTGTTTGGTTGAGGTTATTTGAAGATAGTGTCGAGGGCTACTCCATTTTAGCTATCTTAGTGACATTATATACTGTTCATGAAGTGTCTTCACCTGGACACAGAATCATGATGTCCTTCAGTTCACATGATACCAACATGAATAAGCTTACAAATCCTCATTCCTAACTCATTCAATCCTAATAATCAAGCCGATAGTAGCAAGTATCAGTTTTATGAGCTCTGGCCTCTTGGGTTCCACAGGCAATTTTTTTTTTAAAATAGAGAAATGCCTATGATATGGGAGTTGCCTCCTTTCCCATATACGTTACAAAAGATAATCATATTGCTATTTAATCAGGCACTGTCCGGCAGGTGTCATTACATTACAATGAAAATATCTGTAAAATCGGTTGGGCACAATATATATATACTTTTGTATATAGGTTCTGAAATAATACATTGACTTGTAACCCAAATGTCCTCAATTCCACTCCCTAAATATGAGTTAGGAGAGTCTATGTTAGAAAGTGCTCTGTCAGGTGTTTGGTCAGATTGTTGTCAGCATTATCTATTTACTTTGATCATTTATCTGACTGACTGGACCGACCAGCAAATTCATATTTACTTTATATCTTAGTCTTCACATTAGGTTTGTTTATGCTTCAGGGTTTGATATTCTTACTTATTTATTTCCAATGATACAACCTGTATCAGTTAGCTAATATTTTCTCTATGTATATTTGATGTTATTATTTCGGAATTAAGTTTTCATTTAAATTTACATGCAAATGTGATTATGTGGTATACGCCAACTCAAATTCGTAAGATTATTAAATTCCAGATATCAGCTGGATAATAAAGTATGAAAACGTTCCTAGGATGTAATAAGGACGTTTCATAAGTCCCTAAATAACTAATAGGTGTTGCAATATTCAGATATAAAGTTACTGATGAACGTGAACGGTAGTTCATGCCTTCTTCCTGTTATCCTAACATCATCATTAATACTACACTGCAAGTACTGTTTGGAGTGAAATGATGATGAATGAATATTTTTTCATTCAAACGGGCCTCCCTCTGTCCCTCCTAAAATATCGTATTTGGCCATTGCAATAAATAATAATAATATGAAAATGAACTGAAAAATAGTCCACGAGACTGCACCTTGTGATCTATCTCGGAGGCTCATTCCAGCATCATCAGCCATTGCGAGTTTACGAAATGGAAATTATCTCCCATGCAAAAGTTCACGGTGTGTAACAGGGAACGTTAGAAGTTGAACTGTCTGGATTTTGTAACTTATTAACCGAACGCAGAAACATGTTCTTAAGTTTGTCAGTGTGCTAAACAGGTACTTTTTCAAAAGGATACTATTTATGTAGTACAGATTTTTCTCTGAAAGCAAACTCACTAGCCTGTTTATATGTACATTGTTTTCAAACCGAATATAGCTTTTATCAGAAAGATATAAATGTAAGCTTATATTTCATATTATGTTCATCTCTTTAGTTTGATATAGGCATCAAAATTTCCAAGCTTTATTACTTAGAAAACTGCATGTTTTATTTTTCCTTGATGTCTGTTATACATTTAAACATTTGTATTTGTCATGAAGATAATTTTTAGAGCTGATATTTACATTTGCATATCATTTCATATACGTAAACCTAAAAAAGATGAATAGGGTTTGTATAGCCTATGTTTAGTATGATATCAATCATTTAAATGCGATGAACCAATTTCCATCGGTTTCTCTCATTTAAGTGATTTACATTTATAAGCCAAGATCCACCATCTATATGAAATTGATCCCCTTCACCTATTCACTCCTTCACGAAAGAATGCCACAGACCAAATTTTCGTGAAATTTGTTAAAATATCCTCTTTCGTTCATAACTAGTAGGTATTTGTATGATGTAAGCTCACCACTCATTCGGTCTAGGTGAGCTAATGAAGAAAGAAAGAAAGAATTCACACTTTGTATCAGTGCAATGAAATCTTTATCATAAGTTATGTGAACTAGTAATCATCGTACAGACATTTATTGCTCCTAGTTTATATTTTTTGTGTTGGTGGGTGGGTTAAAAATAGATGAATTTTCAAACTTCCATATCTCACAAGCGTATAATGATAAGATTGAAGACACAAGTGAATGAAAAAAGTAGTTGCAGATAACAGATAACGGAATATTTCTTTATTTTTGCAAAGAGGTCATATTGCGCATTTCTTTCAGACAACGTCTTCCTGGCTTTGGTGATCTTACCAATGAAACAGAATACATGTAATATACCGAGATAAAAGAACGAGTTTTTAACCATCAGCCTTTCATCCTTAAAAGTAGATTAATTTGTTGTATTTTTTCTTAAAATGACAACAAGTGTGGTTTTTGAGTGATTACAGTAAATATCCACATTTCACAGTAATTTTGGAAACAGTTAAGAGCTTTCTGAAGACATTTAGGCCACAGCGTCGTCAGCTTACAACTTACGATAAATAATATCACTGTGTGTAAAATGGTTTTATGTCTTTGTCGGTAAAAAAGGTAAAACAGAGAAAGTTCGACGCATCACTTCCGTTTTTAACTCAGGATTTAGTATTTGGATACAACTTTTATAAAATATTTTAACACATATATATTTCTTCATTTCCAACCCGGCAAATGATATCCAACGCTTTGAAAGTCGACAAAATGAATGTACTTTTCTGTGAAAATTTGAAAGCAATGAGTACAATATAATACGATACAAAAATTAAAAAAAAAAACAACAGTTTTTTAATAACCTTTATTAAAAAAAACCGACCTGTGCATTAAATACAAGATTGGTTTCGTCTGCAAATTTATTCAGTCTTTCATTATTTCTTGCCATAAAAAGTTTTCAAATTCACTTCGATTTATTTCAAAAGTTAGCATAGCATATACGATATACAAGATGAGTAGCTACATAATAATATTAATGTTTACAGGATACAGGAAACAAGAGTAATCACTCTATAATATTATCTGGGTCATTGCTGTCAGCGACATACACTACAACGGGTCAATATCATACTCCGTGGTTTCGTCACCGTTCATTTTGTAAATTGGTTTAGTTACACCTATTATCCATGCTCCTGAGTCCTAGGTCTTGCCAGCTTTGCTTGTCTGTCGTTCAGGAACAGGATACATCTTGGAATCATGTCATATTTGGAGTTGTCGGCTTGGTTGCATAACTTTTAATAGAAGTTATATATTACAGCCAGTGAAAAAAAGTAAAGCGCACGCGCGATGAACTATTTTTGATCTCTATAAAAACTTCCGGGATGGGAAAAAACATGACAGAGATCCCATATGTTTGCGAACTGTTGACAGCTTGATGGTATTTGGGACAATGAAGTTGAACAATCGCCATGCTTGAGTATTTGTTTACTTGTTCCGCATCGCTGAACTCGTCATCGCGGGTCTGTCATTTGAAGTACGTGAGCCTACTGGGGACTTTCAGTTTGCTAGCTAACGCATAACAGCGAGATAACGGTGGATTACGATAAACATATTCTGACTCTGGTGGAATGCAGATTTTACAAGACTGACTGTAGAAATCTGGTAAGTTAGGTTTATGTCTGTCTTGTTAATTACTACTCTTAACAAATATTATACAACACGCTGAACGTTTCTGTAAGGTTACACTCGCCGGCTGTAACGTGCATTACAATTCTGTTCAGTATATTAAAAAAGAAATAATGACATAACCATTGTATGTGAAAGATATTCGTTACGAATATGTGTTAAAATAACAATTTAAGGCTAACACATCACAATCTACAAATGTTGATATGTGTTTGATTACGTAAAATCCATCAGTTTCGCTCTTAGTAAATCTTCTGTAATATAAGTTATGCGAAAAATTGATGTTTAAACGGTGAGAGAATACACAGTCAACGTCATGAAATATAAGTTGTATATGGCAGAGCGAAGAAAAACGAAATCGGATAACGTTTTGTCCAGCGCCAAGATACATCTTATATTTTAAGGCACTGATCTTGTATTCTATTTCCTGCAACATTTGGTTGAAATTTAGACTAATGAAACTTCAACACTTAGTTGTTGTAAGTCCTGCAAACCAGTGCATAAAAAAAGATATAATTAATTTATTTCTGGTTTAGGAATCAATACCAGACTTGCAATAAACAAATAAATACATTTTCCAAATACCTCCATCCAGTATACATTCACATGGATGTCTAAAATTTAATTGTTGCATTGTAATTAAAGAAAGGTTCTTTGTTTTTCCAGCAATTATCAAGATTATTTTTAAGGAAGTAACATTTATTTTGAAATAAAATTTTCTGGCAGTTGATTCCCAATGGTGACTGTTCTGAATTAAAAAAAAATCTGAGATTGTCTATTGATTGCTTTTTAGGAAATATTTTTCTATAGTGTGTCCTCTGTCATGTTTTCCATCATTGCCTAACACAGCAAAATATCCGTGGCTAGATTATTAGGACAGTACTAGTTGCCATTGTTTTCATGTATTTTAGGATGAATTCAACACAGGCAAAAATTACTAACTTAATGCCAGGACGAAAAGAAGAAAAAGATAAAACGAAATGGGCACCTGTTTACATGTACATTTTATAAGATTGCCTTGTAAAACTAGGATAATATTACTTAATCTAAGGAACACTGAAACAGCTTTCAAAAAAAGCAAATTTAATCTTGAATGAAAACTTCATTAAAAAAAATCAATTAATTAATGAAAAATCACAAATTCCTTTGACACTTGCTAGTATACAAATTTGTGAGATTTCAGTACACACATGCAAGATTTGAAATCTGTCAAAAGTTGTCTCTTAATTAAATATGAAATTGAATATTTCATATCAGATGAAAACATTTCCAATTAAATACTTCAGTGTTACAGTATCATGTTTTACTAAATTGCGCAAAACATATGTTGTTTTGGATTTAACTTTTAAGATGTTGTGATTTTAATGTTTAAAAGCAAGATATAAGGTGTGATTGATGAATGACAGATGCTGTCATTATAAATTCTGAAATGTGAATATTTCAAAGTTTTCAGTGTCATTAAACATAATAAGTTACACTTTAAAAGATGATTAATTGCATATGGTGGTTTAAAATATCTGATTTACAGGCCAATATAACTTTACTGTTATATAGCTATCTTTTTCTCTTCCTTGTGTGGATTTCAAATTCTTATAAATGTAGTAAAGTAATCATATTTCAATATTGATATGTGACCCATGTCATTCAAGAATGCATGTGCAAACCAATAGTTTTGCCACAGTTAAGTACACTTATATACAAATGTACTTAAACTTAAAAGCAACTTCATATTACACATTATTTTATGTTGTTTTAAAGTTGATACTGCGCTAAATAGTAATGATCTGAGTGCAGATGAAACCTTCAGAAATAAACTGTTCTAGCTTTGGAAACAATAGACAAAAACTGAGACAGTTATAATTGACAAGATGTAAATATATGTATATACAACATGTATTGCTTTTAAAATCTACTTGTGGAAGGGATGACAAGGAGATAAAACTGAAAAGTGGTAAACAGACCAGTCAACGCCAGAATATCAAAAAACCTGAATTGAAACATAAATAGAAAAGGCAAAGGAACAGAGAAAAATCCATATTTTGTGAAAGAATTTGTCACTATATCACATATCAGTACATGAAAATTCTGTGGAAATCTGGGATTTGCAAATAACCATCTCCTAATGTGAATAGACATTCTGGATTTGTGATATTGATGGGAATATAGTATCTGGCAAGGCTGAAGGACTAGATAAAGAAAAATAGACTATGTAGAGCTACACAGCAGAGCTGATGGAACAGATCGTTTTGATGAAGATTTCCTTAGATATGTTTGTGGACAATCAATTTGGTATCAATGAACTTAGAAGTGAAATTTTATAGAATCAAACCAATGTTGACTTAGGTTCAAAGTTATTACTGTAAACCTCCGGTCAGTTTGAGCGAAATTAATCCAATATTGTAGAACCAGTGTGATTCATACGAAATTATGCTTGTGAAAATAAATTAGAGTTTGAACTGTCAGGGTCAACATTGCCCCCAAAATCATGTCAAAGTGTCTAAAAGCATCTTAGCAAGGCAGGAAACTACTGGTTAGGGGTGGCGGGTTGATTATATAATTATTATCTTTTGAAACTCTTACTGTACTTCATTACATGTTAATCTAC